GCACCTATCTTACCAACAAGAGCGCACCTGTCTTAGCAACAGTGTACCTGTCTTATCATCAACACCCTTATCACAATCAGTGCACCTCTCTTAACAACAGTGCACCTGTCTTAACAGTGAACCTGTCTTAGCAACAGTGTACCTGTCTTATCAGCAACAGTACACCTGTCTTAACAACAGTGCACAAGTCTTACCATCAACAGTGCACCTGTCTTCTCATCAACAGTGTACATGTCTTATCAACAGTGCACCTGTCTTATCAACAGTGCACTTGTCTTATCAACCGTACACCTGTTTATCAACAACAGTGCACTTGTACTTTTGGTGCAGTTGTTGCACTATCAGTGCGCCTGTTGCTCTATCAGCACATTTGTTGTATCATCAGTGCATCTGTTGTGTCGCCCCTGCATAAGTTGCACCATCAATGCACCAAAGACGCTATCAGTGCACCTGTTTTACATTCACACACCATCACCAATGAAACTAACCCATCCACATCTTCCACAACCACCTAAACACCTACACAGCTAACCGACGATCCACCACAAACTATCCTTCACACTGACCACCTATTCAAACCACCTCATCACCACACAATAAGAACCAACAACCACCTCTTCCACAGAGAATAAGCACCAACAACAGCACCACAAGCTCCATCTATGAAATACAAGTACTCCCAGCATCCGTCCAATAACCCGCATCCAATATCACAACTATAAAACCAATGCCTTGGCGAAGCCCCTACACAAACGAAATCAATACGAAGAAATTAAGCAGATAATCGATTGACGCCTTAAATCAATAAGTAAAACCTGCTCGTGTGAGAATCTCCACATAGGGTAACCTAACTCCATCCTTGTTAATGAAAACTTGAGTGGTGACTCACGGGTCAGCCAGACACAGTTCGATTCATGTTCGATTTTACGTCCAATCAGACTTGCTTCTCCCTGATTGATCAAGAAGGAAGGATCTATCAATGAGTGCTGAGTACAAAATTGTTTTTCTTTTCGAGGTTTTTTTTTCTGGAGAAATCGATTTCGTTGTCACTCCCATGGCTCTCAGAAATATCGATACTGTTGCAGTTGGTCGAGCCACTTAGGAGGTGCGTACAAGCATCCCGGGTGTACGTGTGTACACTGTACACACCTGCCTCTAGGTGTAGACTATAGGTACTTTTTTAAGCACTCTTAGCTAGCTATACACGTGGATCAAGTTGTGAACTAAAGAAGGTCTACCTAACTCAAGATTAAAACCGCAACTAAATTTGTCTTACTGGATCAAGATTAAGACTGCTACTACAATTGTCCTACTGGATCAAGATTAAGACTGCTACTACAATTGTCCTACTGGATCAAGATTAAGACTGCTACTACAATTGTCCTACTGGATCAAGATTAAGACTGCTACTACAATTGTCCTACTGGATCAAGATTAAGACTGCTACTACAATTGTGCTACTGGATTAAGATTAAGACTGCTACTACAATTGTCCTAATGGATCAAGATTAAGACTGCTACAACAATTGTGCTACTGGATTAAGATTAAGACTGCTACTACAAGTGTACTACTGGATTAAGATTAAGACTGCTACAACAATTGTGCTACTGGATTAAGATTAAGAAATGCTACTACAATTGTCCTACTGGATCAAGATTAAGAATGCTGCTAAAGTTGTCCTTTTTATTTTACTACAATTGTCCTACTGGATTACGATTAAGACTGCTACTACAAGTGTACTACTGGATTACGATTAAGACTGCTAATACAAGTGTGCTACTGGATCAAGATTAAGAGTGCTGCTAAAATTTTCCTACTACTACAATTGTACTACTAGATCAAGATTAAAACTGAAACTAAAGTTGTCCTACTGAATCAAGATTAAAACCACAACTAAAATTGTTCTCCTGGATCAAGATTACGACTGCTACTAAAGTCTTAAACACATGTCTGAATGTGCCGGCTACTGACGAAGACCTAAACTAATCGAACCCCAGCGTTCAATCAGGCCAACACGACTAATCAAGTTTTTAAAACACGTCATTGCACGGCATGTGAACTAACGATTAACTAGCCTACATGTGTCTGCTTTATCTGCTAATGAAGAAAATTATATGCAATCTACGGCTATAATGATACAGGCGCTAATAAAAACTGCGATCTCGTCTATTCTACCGAGGAGGGAAATATTTCTTAACGCTCACGACAATGTGGACGTTTAGCGTCTCATACACAATACAATTACATCTATTTTAGTAAAGGAGATATTTCTTAATGCTCATGGCAATGTGGACAAGTTTAGCGTCTCATACACAATACGATTACATCTATTCTAGTAAAGGAGATATTTGTTAATCGTGACAATAAAGTCAAGTTTAGCATCTAATACACAATGCTATTCTGCAACACCGGTTATTTCTTAAAGTTCATGAAAACGGAGACACGCTTAGCATTGGATAAACAGTTCTATCCTACAAAAGCAGATATGTGTTGACACTCCTGTCAAATGTGGACAAGTTATGCGTCTAATAAATAATGCGATTACTGTTATTCAACAAAAGCAGATATTTCTTAAGGCTTCTGACAATGCAGACACGTTTAACGTCTGATCAACATAACTATTCAACGAAAGCAGATATTTCTTAAGGCTCCGACAATGTGGACAAGTTTAGCGTCTGATAAATAATGCTATTCTACTAAAGCAGATATTTCTTACTGCTCATCACAATGGAGACACGTTTAGCGTCTGATAAACAAAGCTTTCAAACAGAAGTAGAAATTTCTTAAGGCTAAAACAAGGAGAAAAAATTAGCTTAGACCACAGAGAGGAGGAAAGATTGGACAGGCTACACTGTTATTGTTGTGTTAGTGTATTTAAGGAGAGAATGTTTGTACTGCTAATTACCGGTCTGGTGTTATACCCAGCGGCCGGTGGGAACAAAAAGGGAAGTAAAGTTTGTTCACGGAGTAACGGGACTATGACGGCATTTTAGGGTAAGTACACAGTTACGTGTAGGCTATAATAATAGAAAATACATCTTTTATATACAGTGGTTTTCCAAACTGGGAGGGGCGGACTAGTGTTAGGGGTGGTAGGAAATGCTTTCCTTGTTAGGTAGGTCTACAGGTATATGTACACTTTCAAATCGGTGAAGTGTGTCTGGATATTCAATTTAAAATGTATAAACTATATCTTTGTCTGATGTTTTCCGTTTCTTTGCTGATGTTTAAGGTTTGATCTCAAGACCTGCGTGCATCTCTCGACACTCACCCCCCCCTTCCCAGACTTCTAAAACCCAACACTGTACCCCCACCAACTAACCAAACGTATCAATTTCTACTCAAAATATAGACACATATAAGCTACTGACACTCATTTAATATACATATAAAGAGGAGCTGGCTACACAAAGTATACACGAATTTGAATTATCAAAATATTTTTTTATGCAAACATATGCTAAAAAAGAAACCTTAGTGAGCAACAGTAGAGTATAACTAGTTTTGTTTACATAATCAACAAATGGTAATTAATGTTCAGTTCACTTTGCAGAGCTATTTCACTGTGTTAGCTTTCTCTTTGCGAAGTGATAAGTTGTCACATTTTAAGTGGTATTACATCAGTGTATAAGTAGTCACATTTTAAGTGGTATTACCTCAGTGTATAAGTAGTCACATTTTAAGTGGTATTACCTCAGTGTTTAAGTAGTCACATTTTAAGTGGTATTACATCAGTGTATAAGAAGTCACATTTTAAGTGGTATTCCCTCAGTGTATAAGTAGTCACATTTTTAGTGGTATTACATCAGTGTATAAGAAGTCACATTTTAAGTGGTATTCCCTCAGTGTATAAGTAGTCACATTTTAAGTGGTATTACCTCAGTGTATAAGTAGTCACATTTTAAGTGGTATTACCTCAGTGTATAAGAAGTCACATTTTAAGTGGTATTACCTCAGTGTATAAGTAGTCACATTTTAAGTGGTATTACATCAGTGTATAAGAAGTCACATTTTAAGTGGTATTCCCTCAGTGTATAAGTAGTCACATTTTTAGTGGTATTACATCAGTGTATAAGAAGTCACATTTTAAGTGGTATTACCTCAGTGTATAAGTAGTCACATTTTAAGTGGTATTACCTCAGTGTATAAGAAGTCACATTTTAAGTGGTATTACCTCAGTGTATAAGAAGTCACATTTTAAGTGGTAGTACATCAGTGTATAAGTAGTCACATTTTAAGTGGTAGTACATCAGTGTATAAGTAGTCACATTTTAAGTGGTATTACATCAGTGTATAAGTAGTCACATTTTAAGTGGTATTACCTCAGTGTATAAGAAGTCACATTTTAAGTGGTATTACATCAGTGTATAAGAAGTCACACTTTAAGTGGTATTACATCAGTGTATATGTAGTCACATTTTAAGTGGTATTACCTCAGTGTATAAGTAGTCACATTTTAAGTGGTATTACATCAGTGTATAAGTAGTCACACTTTAAGTGGTATTACATCAGTGTATATGTAGTCACATTTTAAGTGGTATTACCTCAGTGTATAAGTAGTCACATTTTAAGTGGTATTACATCAGTGTATCAGTAGACATATTTTTTTATTGGTATTACCGCAGTGAATGTTGTAAGTTGTCACATTTATGAAGCGGTATTATTTCAGTGTATAAGTGGTCACATTATGTCACTGGTACTACCTTATTTTAGTGGTAATATCTATTTTGTTACAATGATCACTTTAATTAAGGTGCTATTTACTCAGTGTATGTTTTAAGTAGTCACACAACGTCAGTGGTTTTACTTGGGAGTATATTAAAATTTTGTAATCACCTTATTTCAGAGGTATTACATCTGTTACTAGATAAATAGTCATACTATTTCAGTGGCATTACATCTTATGAGGAAGAGTAGCATACATACTCCTGCATTAGGCTACTAGCTCACAGACACACACTACTCAAACACCCAAGTTAAAAATTAAAAGATGACTTACCTTTTCAAGCTATTTACTTGAGACACCAGCATTGCATTACACTCCTGTAATTTCTTAACTTGACTGGATTCTTGTCTCTGAACATCACATCATAAATAACATTTGTAGAGTTCAAAGTTTACAAGAGAAATAATTTAATAAAATAGCAACAATATACTAAAAATATCTTAATTATTAATTAAGATAATTGTGGTTGTTTAATTTTAATTAATAAAAACCAAAAACAAGTTGCATTAGTGTTTCCATATTTAATTAATCAATTTCAGTAATCTTAGGCACAATTTTCTTTTCAGATATCTCTTCCCCCACACCTCCACCCCCTATTATATTTTATTAAAAAGAAAATAAACATCAGAAAGAAACCGTGCTTAAGCAAACTCTCTTGTTTACAATTATAAAACCTGTCAGAAATAATTAAATAACAGTTGTTTTTAAAATGTATGTATTAAATAGCTTTCGGATTTTAATTGACGTAATTTAATTAAATAAGAATAAAAATCAAGCAAAGCTGCGTCCTTACCACTTCCACTGCCCCTTGCCTCTCTCTGCTCACAGCTTTATCTTCTAGTTTTTCAGTTTGGACAAGCAGATTCAAGTTTCTCTTGACTAAATGTCGAAGTTTCCTGTTCTCTTCTGATGAAAGTAATAACAAAATAACACATTTTAAAACCTAGCGCTAGCATTCATAAAGGTGGTAACTATAAAGGTGGTAACATGCAGATCCAAATTTCTCTTGACTAAATGTCGAAGTTTCCTGTTCTCTTCTGATGAAAGTAATAACAAAATAACACATTTTAAAACCTAGCGCTAGCATTCATAAAGGTGGTAACTATAAAGGTGGTAACAAGCAGATCCAAATTTCTCTTGACTAAATGTCAAAGAGTGGTTATAACAAAATAGAACATTTTAAAAACTATAATACATAGAGATGGTAACTATCAAAATAGTTACCTAGTTAAAAGGGTTTTTGTTTTAAATAAATAATCTTCTTCTTTTCTCTTTTGATCTTAATTTAATGTTGGAAATATATTTTTTTAACACAATAAAGTATTATATATCAACTTGTTATGCGACATATAGGCCATTAACTCAGATTTCAGACAGTTTTTTTTGGACTTGCTTTCATAACCTTTGTCCAACCAAGAACAAACTACAAGGCAGTAGTTGCCTAATTTTAGAGTTTTCTCTCCTAGATTGGTTTTTTGTTTCCTGCTCACGAGCCTCATCTGCCCGTGGGTTCAAACTCAGGACTTTACAGTTCAGCAACCATGAGTTTACCCACCTGACCACACTGACCTCCATAAATTAACCAAAAGAATGTCGTGCTTACCCCTGAAATTCTTCAGTAAAGAGACCAGAACCCTGAGCCTGTAGAAAGAAATTTAAGGGAAGTCTAGTGAAAGCAACATTAACACTTATCAAAAAGTAAGGCATATATCATTCATAGATAGATAACTAGAAATACTAGTAAAAATTACTCAAAATAAAAAGACGTATCATTCATAGATGGATAACAAGAAATACTAGTAAAAATTAACTCAAAATAAAAAGACATATATCATTCATCGATACCTAGAAATATAGTAAAAATTAACTCAAAATAAAAAGACATATATCATACATTGATAGATAACTCAAAAAACTAGTAAAAAATTAATTTAAGATTTTTAAATAAAGCATAGGGCTATATCATTCATGGATTGTTAATTAGAATTTCTAAGAAAAATTAATGTAAACAAAAAAGGTTTACTTGTGATAATTTCAATACAATTTTTTATCTAATAAGACGTCATCCACAAAAACATTTAAACTCATAAGTTTTCCTAAATTAATAATCTTAAAACAGAAACTGTGGCAATTAAGTTTTATAGAGATGCATTTCTGTCTAAAAGTTAATCTATATCAGCTATATACTTACTTTTCATTAGAAATATCATAATAAGGATCTTGCTTGGGGCTTGATTTTCCTCTTAAACTTTCTCGATTAGATGACTCTTCTGAATTAGCACTTGAATCACTAAATTCACATTCAAGCTGGAAATATACACAGAATTTTTTTTACAACTCTGGACATTGTTAACATACAACATGGATCTTGGTCATTTTTACTTTCTCGTATATACGTAGTATAGAGAAAGTCTTGTAATCGTGCAAAAAAAAAAAATCGAGATTTTTACAAATCTCGACGTTTTACACCTCACTGATACGGTAAAACATAATTTTGCAATCTTGTCCGTATGTCTGTGTGTGTGTGTGTCTGTCCGTGTGTAAACACGATAACTTGAGTACCGTTACAGCTAGGTTGATGAAATTTCATATATAAGTATTTTATCAAAATCGTAGATCCGTATCAACTTTTGAGCGATTTCCGATAACCGGAAGTGGTACTTTTCCTACTTTGAATTTTTTAAAAGCCTATAACTTGAGTACTATTTCAGATAGATAAATGAAATTTCACATGTAAGTAAAAGATCTAATTCTCTACCTTCTGTTAAATTTTGAGTAATTTCCGTTGACTGGAAGTAGTAATTTACGCTACTTCCGATTTCTCAAAAAACTAATGTAAATTTTAAAAGTACTAATAATATTGCGCACTATTATGCGCTTTTTTTATTTGCGTTCACTTGGTGTGCAATTAATTTGTCTACGAGATTTTATTCTATTTTTAAAACTTTAAGTATTTAAAATGGATTAAAAATCATGTCTATAGCCCGAGTTTCCATCCCCTGTTATTTTATATAAGAATATTCGAGAAAGTTTAGGGGAGATCACTCCCGGTTTATTTATTTAATCAGCAGGTTGGTTAGACACAGTGAAAATTTAAGCAGCTATCCATGCTGTATAGCCTCCATTCATGATTTGGCACTGGATTTAGTATCAATTTGACTGGTTAAGGAATGTAACCTTTATAATACATCTAGTCGTAAGCTTAAGAAACCTAAACCTAGTGAACACTTACAGATTGTATACTAGGTAAGATATGGGACCTTTCTATAACATCTTATCTAGGATATAAACATAATTAAAACAAAGAAAAAACTTAGCGCAGTTGTACTGGGTATACTTATAAATGGGACCTTTCTAATAAAATACACACTTCCCCTTACACTAAAGAGTTATAAATGGGTATAATTATAAATGGGATCTTTCTAATACACTAAAACTTTTCCCTTACACTGAAGAGTTATAAATGGGTATAATTATAAATGGGATCTTTCTAATACACTACACCCTTTCCCTTACACTAAAGAGTTATAAATGGGTATAATTATAAATGGGACCTTTCTAATACAATACACACTTTCCCTTACACTAAAGAGTTATAAATGGGTATAATTATAAATGGGATCTTTCTAATACACTACACACTTCCCCTTACACTAAAGAGTTATAAATGGGTATAATTATAAATGGGATCTTTCTAATACACTACACCCTTCCCCATACACTAAAGAGTTATAAATGAGTATAAATATAAATGGGACCTTTCTAATACACTACACACTTTCCCTTACACTAAAGAGTTATAAATGGGTATACTTATAAATGGGACCTTTCTAATACACTACACCCTTTCCCTTAAACTAAAGAGTTATAAATGGGTATAATTATAAATGGGACCTTTCTAATACAATACACACTTTCCCTTACACTAAAGAGTTATAAATGGGTAAAATTATAAATGGGACCTTTCTAATACACTACACACTTCCCCTTACACTAAAGAGTCATAAATGAGTATAATTATAAATGGGACCTTTCTAATACACTACACACTTCCCCTTACACTAAAGATAAAAAAATCAGAGTTAAAACTTAAAGAGTTATTTGTTGGGTATAATTATAAATGGGACCTTTCTAATAAGACTACAATTCCCTTACACTAAAGAGTTATAAATGGGTAAAATTATAAATGGGACCTTTCTAATACACTACACACTTTCCCTTACAGTAAAGAGTTATAAATGGTTATATTTATAAATGGGACCTTTCTAATAAGACTACAATTCCCTTACACTAAAGAGAACAAAAACTAAGTGACAACTTACAGAGCTGCTGTATGAAGGGCTGGCATTCTCCACTTGGCCACCTAGATCAGGTGTGGCCACAACGCTATCTTTCAGCTCTTTCTCACTGAGTGGCCAGGGCAGGCCAGGGCCATCACCAAGCTGTGGGCCATTCAATCAACAGACAGTTCACAAAAAGGTGTGGATAACATGGATATGATTTACAGTTCACAAAAAGGTGTGAATAACACGGATATGACTGACAGTTCACAAAAAGGTGCAGATAACATGGATATGATTAGTTCACAAAAAGGTGTGAATAACATGGATATGATTAGTTCACAAAAGGTGCGGATAACATGGATATGATTGACAGTTCACAAAAAGGTGTAGATAACATGGATATGATTGACAGTTCACAAAAAGGTGCGGATAACACAGATATGATTGACAGTTCACAAAAAGGTGCGGATAACATGGATATGATTGAAAGTTCACAAAAAGGTGCGGATAACATGGATATGATTGAAAGTTCACAAAAAGGTGTGGATAACATGGATATGATTGAAAGTTCATAAAAAGATGCGGATAACATGGATATGATTGAAAGTTCACAAAAAGGTGCGGATAACATGGATATGATTGACGGTTCACAAAAAGGTGTGAATAACATGGATATGATTGAAAGTTCACAAAAAGGTGTGGATAACATGGGTTTGATTGAAAGTTCACAAAAAGGTGCGGATAACATGGATATGATTGAAAGTTCACAAAAAGGTGCGGATAACATGGATATGATTGACAGTTCACAAAAAGGTGCGGATAACATCGATATGATTGACAGTTCACAAAAAGGTGTGGATAACATGGATATGATTGACAGTTCACAAAAAGGTGCGGATTACATGGATATGATTGGATGTTCACAAAAGGTCTGAATAACATGGTTATGGTAAAACTGATTATTAATAACTTTGCGAAAAACAGATTTTTTATATTTCTTAATCACAAAAGGGAGCTAAGTATTACAGAAGGTTCATACAATTGCTGTCTAGTATACACAAACAAACAAAAACAAGTGAATTACCATGTATGACTCAAGTTCCTTACCAGGTCTCTCAGCTCATTCCTAATGGACAGTGGCCACTCAGATACACTGTTGGTCTCAGACTGGTCGGTGTCCTCTTCTATATCCTCTGTAAGTTCTTTCAGTGAAGGCAGTACAATACCATTACTGCACTCGTTAGCGGATTTTAGGCTAAAATATACACATGCATAATATAATCAGCTTAATTATTTTTTTTAAACATAACCTAAAACATGTCACCACAATTAAGTTAATTAGTTCATGTTAATTTTTACTTCCATAAATATAAGAAATAAATGTGTTGTATTTTATTTCAGACAAGCAGGTCAAAAGATGGTTAATTTAGATTAGAAATAAGCTGGGTGCCTTTATCAGTAGTGAGAATATTTTAATGCGTAATAACTAATAAGATACTTAAGTATAAAACACAACTATTTTCCTTATTCAATTTACTACATGCAGGGAAGCAACTCATACCTAGAGATCTCCAGTTGTGATTCTTTGAGCTGTCCTTGCAATTCTCTGTTTTGATTTTTCAGCTCCTAAATAGTGAAGAACCTCTTGAGTCATTACAAATTACTTCCTTCTGAATAGTTTATACAATCATATTTTATAGCATTAAAAATGAACACATTCTCCTCTGCTAAACAATACACTCCTAGAGTTTGTATAATTATTTAGTTTCTGTGATTACAATAATGAAGTTTTATAACGAGTACTTATAATATCAATCTTTAAATGTGAACAAAGTTTTTTACTTTGATGAAAAAAAAATTCAATTATTTAAATCTAAATTAGAAGTAATTTAAATATAAAATACTATATTTTGTACTAATGTTATTTATAAGAAATGAAGGCTCAATAGCAGATTTAGTTTTGACTGTTAGGAAAGTTTCACTTTAGTTGCCTAAGAATTTCAATCTGAACAAACAATAGGTTTCTAAAATGATATATTAACTATAAAATTAAATTTATGTTTTTATGATGCAAACCTTATCATTTTCCCAATAGTAAAAATGTAGTCAGTGAATATAAAGGTTTATTACATGACCTACATCTAACAAGTCTTATGATGCAAATAATCAATAAAAATAAAGGTCAATAACATACATTATAGTAACTAATACTCAATGGTTTATATTATGATACAACTTTAAATCGATTACTTATAACACAATTAAAATGAGTCAAACCTCATTATACTTGGACATCTCTTGTAAGTGGACAGATAACTCTTGATACTTTTCATCTCTCTACAAAAAATCCAACAGAATAGCAATCAACCTTTAAAATGCTTTAGCACCTTCTCGATCTAACTACTACATGCTCAACCAGATAGTTAAAAACACTAGGTGACATTCACACCACATTCACCTGCAACTTAACCAACACAGGTAAACCAGTTAATTTATGCCCTGGGGATTATGCAGGTAACAGGTGCAGTCATTCAGTCATAAAAAAACATTCACTCAACTTTAATTGAATCAACCTCAACACACACATGTTAATTGGGATTAGTTGTTTTTTTTTAGAAATATGCTTCCCATTTTATTAAATTAATAAAGGCATACATTTAAATACTTTATAAATATATATATACCACTAATTGTATTTCAAAAATGCTTTACTATAAACCTATGTAGGTTACATTGTATTGTGATGAATAAATGTAATGTATAATGACTTGTGATATGCAGCAATGAAGTCATAAGCAACCTTTACAGCTAATATGATTAGCCTTATAGAAACAATCCCAAAAGCAAAGACTGATCTGTTACTAATAAAGCATTCAAAATTATATTCATATAATAGAAATATATTATTCTAAACAAAACATAGCAAATATCAAATGATTGCAAGTATTCAATGTTAACTGGCCCTCATAGCAACATTCCGCTAAAAGAACAAAACAGATGTCGCATTGATGGGCTTTGAGAAAAACTGAAAACGAATGCATCTCATGCTGTGTGCTGTATTCACTTTCACAGATGCACAGCTGCATAAAGCTTTTAGCCTACCTACACAACTGTTACGCATTCAGACATTCTATTTGATTCACTTGCTATACAGATATATTGTACTTTTATTTCATATTATTTTCTTTAAGAATATCCAGGGTAGCATGTTATATAACGCATTCAGACATTCTATTTGATTCACTTGCTATACAGATATATTGTACTTTTATTTCATATTATTTTCTTTAAGAATATCCAGGGTAGCATGTTATATAACGCATTCAGACATTCTATTTGATTCACTTGCTATACAGATATATTGTACTTTTATTTCATATTATTTTCTTTAAGAATATCCAGGGTAGCATGTTATATAACGCATTCAGACATTCTATTTGATTCTAAAATTCACTTGCTATACAGATATATTGTATATATATTGTATATATATACAGATATATTGTATTTTTTTCATATTATTTTCTTTAAGAATAACCAGGGTAGCATGTTATATAACACATTCAGACATTCTATTTGATTCTAAATTCACTTGCTGTACAGATATATTGTACTTTTTTTTTCATATTATTTTCTTTAAGAATAACCAGGGTAGCATGTTATTAAAAAAATACACATTTTAAATATTAAAAAGTAAAAAAGCTGAACTTATGCTTCAACCAGGTAAAGAAAAATGGGCTGTAAGAGTTAAAACTGAGCTTACCTCTGTAAGCTTAGAGCTCATGTTTGAACAGGTATCTTTTAACTCCATCACTTTCTCCTGCAATATAAAGTGTACAAAACTATTAGTGAAGTTCCGCACATTATAACATTATGCACATTATATACAAACCAAAGTTTTCCTTGTTGAATGAATCACAGTCACAATTGAGTAGTTTAACGATGAGACTGTGATTGATTCAATAGCAACAACACATGTGTAATTATTGTAGAGTGTGTAGCTAACAGGAATGGTGACACCACACATGTGCTTGGGTGTCATATCTGATTACCCACATGGTGGCCAATACCACAACCTTTATAGTCTGATGGTGCAGTTTGGCACATTTGTAGCCAAATTAAATTTTTTGAATAACCAACCAAAACAAGTTTTTTTTTCTATTTTCTTGTTCTATTTCTCTCAAATAAGTAATAACCTTAACCAAGGCAGACAGTAACAGGGTAAAACATCTGGCCCATCATCACAACTTTTAGAGTATGGTTGTGCAGTTTGGCACATTTATGGCCAAACTAAATTTTTTGAATAACCAACCAAACCAAGGTTTTTTTCTATTTCTTGTTCTATTTCTCTCAAATAAGTAATAACCTTAACCAACGCAGACAGTAACAGGGTAAGGCATCTGGCTCATCATCACAACTTTTAGAGTATGGTGGTGCAGTTTGGCACATTTATATCCAAACTTAATCATTTGAATAAACAAGGTTCTTTCTATTTTCTTGTTCTAATGCTCTTAATCAAGGTAAACAGAAACAGGTGAGGAATCAAGTGTCTACACTATGCAAGTCAAATGACACTGTTTAGCATTTGTTCACCATGTTTTTGCATTTGTGACCAAGAAATATGTGGTAGATGAAGTAGAGTTCATCTGTTTCAATGACCTAGGCCAGGGGTCTCCAAACTACGGCCCCCGAGGTCCTCTCATCCTACAGAAAAAATGTTTGTTGGTGATGGCTGAGGAACATTGCCCAGAAAAATCAAAGACATGCCTGCAAGAAACTGGCCCCCGAACTGAAATTTGATAGTTAATGCGGCCCTCTGACTGAAAAGTTTGGAGACCCCTGACCTAGGCATACAGCACTGTGCCCAGTAACCTTCATTTCTCTAACATGAGTCATGTACCCATCAGAACTGGGTGAAAAGGACATCATACCCCAGGATCTAAACTTGAGACTTTCGGGCTAGAAATCATGAATTCTACCATCCAACCATGCTGTACCTTAATGCTTGAATTACCTGACTGCTGGCAATTGTCTAAAATAATCATTTTAAATACAGCAATCTTGTTAATCTGCTTTAATCAAGACTAGTCAAATAATAGATTGAAACAGATTACAGTAAAATTACCATGTGATGTTTTCATACAGGCTAATAAATCTAATTATAGGATGTCATAATTAGGAGTAAAGTAATGAGTAAGGAAAAACCCAACAATATTACTTTTATGAAGTTTAGGCTGTCAGATTAAAGATATGTTTCAGATATAAATGGAAACATTCAAGTCTTAACACCAACATTAAAGTGTAGTTAGTAAAAAATAATTCAGAAAGTATAAGTTGTACTTTGATTTTAACATGGTAACCCAAATTGCAAATATCGTTATATTTTTGTTTGAATCAGCTATTAAACAAATGAAAGTGAACCATACATTTGAGACTAAAATAATAAAATCTTCAATCAAAAAGTTACTCATGACTGTACAAAGGAAATACAACAGAACTTACTTTACTTTCTGCTAAACAGAATTTCAACTCATTCCCCACATCTTGCGCCTGAGCTAACTCTGAACTCAACTTGGCAATCTGTCAGTATAAACAAGGAAGGATAAATAGTAGAGCACACTTGTCTATTTCATGAGTCAACTTCAGTGTACATACTACTTCATCAATTCAGTACCACCCAATATATGAAACAAATAAGAATTAATAGCATGAACCCACCTCTATATGGCAACTATTGAGCTGGTTTTGTAAGGTCAACTTTTCCTGATTAAGTAGAATTATTTTTTTCTTCAGTTCATCCATGTCTTTGTTAGACACCATCAACTGCTGCCTGAGTTCCTCATTTTCTGACTCTGTTTCATTGAGAATATCCAGCTGCTCTTGAAGTCTGCTCAGTAAAACAATTTTAACCATTAACACTGTAAAGCAAGTTTGTTTCATTTAGAATATGTAGCTGATTTCAATATAACATTTGTATATATTATCACTACAAATGTAAGTTGGTTTCATTTACAATATCAAGATGTTCTTGTAGCCTGCATATTAAAACATTTGTAACCATCAACAACCCAATGTAAGTTTTAATATTATACACTGTCCTTTTTAAACAAGATCAGATAACACACTGAAATATTTGGGAGATCAAAGAGCAGCAACCCAATGTTTAAAAAATAATTTTTTAAATTCTCAGTTGCTGACCTTTGTCAAAATTCACTGTCTTGCATAATTTGAACCAAACAATATAAATATAGTCAGATTGTAAAAAAAATGTTTAATGTTATTTTAGCAAGTTCTTTTAATTTTAAAAATAGACACTTTTTTAAACAATCACTTTAACTTTAAGCAACAAAAATACTACATGTGATTAAAGGGCAGTAACTGTAATATTAATTTCTTATTTTATTGGCATGTTTAAAGACAAGTAAATTTCTTTACCTTCTGATCTGTGACCTTGCTGCCCCAAGCTCATGGTATTGTTTGACCAGCTCTTCCTCCTTGATATCAATTGTTGCCCGAGCCTCCAGGTTTTCCCTGGTTAACTTAAGGTTGTGATACTGCGAGTCTGCTAATCTGCTCGACAAGTCATTCACTGATGCTCTGCGGAGGTATACAGTTTTAAAAAATATATATATATGATTCCGAGGAAAACAGCACAACAAAACACTGCACAAACAGATAAATGCACACACAAATACAAACTACTTATACTAATATACTTAGATTTTTTTCTTGTTTTGTGGAAAAATGTTATATTACACAAAAAGTACATGTGTCCATTCTTTGTTAATGTCTAAAAATGCTCAAGTTAAGAAAAATAACAAAGATCTTTTTTGAGCGTAGTTTTCTGTTGTATATCTTTCCGGTCACTGAAACTGTTTTCACTTTAAGGATACTGTACTATTGTACTTTTTTTACCATTTCTTTTTCAGTTTTTGTATGATAATTTAGGTAGGCAAAAAGGTAACAGTTGTTGGCCTATTAAAAATCTTTTGAGTAATGGTTAACCCTAATTCCTTGCCCTCACTAATTTTGGATGTTGTTAGCTTATATAGATCAACATAATCTCTATAATTGTTGTGTAAAATGATTCAGACATTAGGCTTTACATATAATAAGGATATTGTTTTTAAACTTTTTATGTCAGCCCATGTTTTTTAAAAAACATGGCTAAATATTTGAAACTCACTCAATCTATAATTCTGTTTTAATTTTTTTTTTATCTTATTATTAAAAAGAAAAAAAATAATTATAATTTAAGAAATTACTGTCTTAAGGACAAGATAACCCTAGGATCGTCATATAATTAACATTATTATTTCCCCTGTTTTAAAATAGCAGGTTTAGAATAAGATGAGAAAGACTGTACTAACCTGTCATCAATGAGACTCTCTTCAACAGATATCTCCAGACCAGCATTTTCTCTCAAACTTTCATTAACTAGAAACAAATACACAGAATGTTATATACATCATATACAATAAATATAATATTAACAACCAAAAGATGTAGGCCTATAATTTATTTAGTAGTAATACAACAAGTTAAAAACTAATTTACAAGAACATTAAAAGAAAAATTTCTTACATGACATTATAATAGAGTCAGCATTTGGTTGTTCTATGCTTGAGTTCCTGTCAATGTAATGCACACATAAAAACAATAACAAAATAATTTTTCATTTTTAAATAATAACTGACTTAATTGTACATTTTTTAAGCTTTTGAATGTTTTAACAACCATAAGTAGAAACACAAAAAGACTATTTTCATGTAGCCTACATGGTTTTACCTACATAAATAAATTATTTTTAGCAAATCTATATAGTTTAACTTACTTTAAGATTTATCTTCAATTAGCATACAAGATTTTACTTACTATAAGAAGTACTTTACCTTAGACTGAAGGTTTTCAATGCATAGAAGAAGTAGGGACTACTATCAGTTAGCCTACAAGGTTTTACTTACACAGAGAAAGTTATTTTACTTACACAGAACAAGTTGTTTTCACTTACACAGAGAAAGTTTTTTTACTTACACAGAGAGTTTTTTTTTTACTTACACTGAGAAAGTTTTTTTACTTATACAGAGAAAGTTTTTTACTCACATAGAACAATTTTTTTTTTACTTACACAGAGAAAGTTTTTTTTACTAACATAGAGAAAGTTTTTTTTACTTACATAGAGAAAGTTTTGTTTACTTACATAGAGAAAGTTTTGTTTACTTACATAGAGAAAGTTTTTTACTTACATAGAGAAAGTTTTGTTTACTTACATAGAGAAAGTTTTTTTTACTTACATAGAGAAAGTTTTTTTACTTACATAGAGAAAGTTTTTTTACTTACATAGATGAAGTTGTTTCTACTTACACAGAGAAAGTTTTGTTTACTTACATAGATGAAGTTTTCATCTCACTGATCCACTGAGAAAGTCCACTCTGAAGAGTGTCAATGCCCACTTCTGCATTCATATTATCTGGGTCTAGAATCTCAATCAAGCTACCAACAGCACCATCTTCCTAAAATTATTATTTTTTATTATTCAGAGAGGAAATGTTTTAAATAAATTTGTTTTTCAATATAAAATATTTTATTTGATGTGAATTATCTATAGTGATAGTGTGAAAGCATGGTCAAATGGTAAAGTGTTTGGCTGCTAGCCCATAGGTCTTGAGTTTGCATCTCCGTTCCGACTTATGACTATGGGATGTCTCTGAGTCCACCCAGCTCTGGTGAGTACCTGACTTACATTGGGGAAAGTAAAGGTGGCTGGGTATAGTGCTGACCACACCATCCCTTCATATGCTGAGGTCAAGAAACATATGAACTCTACTGAAAATAGTTTGATACAGTTTAGGTCACAAACAATAAGTTTTAATAGCCTTCGATTTTTGGGTTGCTATTTTTTTTTTTTTTGCTTTTCTGTAGCAAATATATAAGTATGTTCTTCTTTTAACCTTAAAGATTAAGGAAAAAGAATGATTACCTTTTAATATACAACATTTTAACATGAGTTTAAAATAATTTGATAAAACACACATTTTTTTTATTTTTAAATAGTCACATAAGATAAAAAAAATGTAGGTGTAATTATTTGAATTTCTGACCAATAATAGTACATATTAAAATGAAAGATATAGGCTTTAAAACTTACCTGTAAGTTTGCATCAATACTAGTCCTCAAATAATCCACAAGATCTGACACCCTGACCTTTCCTAGACCCCTGGGGTCACAGGCCTCAAACCACTTCTCAATGAGATAAACATCACAGTGGATATCACTACCTGCCCTTGATTGCAACTCAGCTGATCTACAGCTAACTAGTTCAAGATTATCCATATTCACAGAGAACTCATTGAAGCAGGGCTCTGTCCTGCTGTTGTTGTTATTGTTGGTTTGGTCCTCGGTCTCTTTATGTCCCAGATCAGTGACCTGGTTTTGACCAGTGTAATGAACAGCCTCAGGCCTAGCCCCTTGAAAGGTGTAGCTCATTATGGCTGGGCTGGGCTCCTTGTCAACTGGGTGTAAATAACAGTATCAGGTTTAAGACTCAGTGGTTGTAGCTAAAGACTTAGGCTAAGGTAGGGGGTTTGGTCAATTATAAAAAGCTGATAAAACAGACCTTGATCTTTTACAACATTAATTAATTTATAGACCTACCTAATGCTAGAGGTATAAGTATTGTTGTATATAAAAGAAACTCAATAGAGATGTAAAAAAATTGTTTTAAATAGCCTATAGGTCTATAGATCTAGTCTAGGTATATTCACTAAAACATTTTTTTTTAAATTTTACAATTAGGCCTACTTACTTGTAGACTACCAGGTCTATCCAAAAAAAAAACTAAGCATTATATAAAATCTAATAAAGTAAAAAACAAACACACTACTACTTAATTAAGTCAAAAGTCGTAAACTTAAGTAAACCTATAGATCTAATTAAAAAAAATTAGCATCTGTTTCTTTCTCAGCTTATCACATTATTTAAAAAGAAAACACTGAACACTCATACATACTATTATACAGATCTAGTAAAGTAATAAGGCTTATTCAGTAATATTCATTAGGTGATTCTATTAGTTAGGATAGATTTTTATTATAAATTCTAGCATATTAAAAAGTCTTAACTTAATTATTATTCTAGACATCTATCTACTATTTATACCTAGTCTGCTACTAGACTCCAGCTGATCTAATTCTAATCTAGATTTGGACCTATAATGGTCACGCTGGACAATTCACGCACTGGATAGTGAATAGAATAGTGCCTGATCCTGAGTGATACTTGTGATAATGATACTAATACAAATATAATATTTATTACTTCATACTTATACTCTATAATTATAAGGCCTAGATCTAGGTTCTAGATCTCTTATCTAGAAATCTAGATTAATTTATTTATGCTAAATCTAGAATGAGAATTATGATCATTATGAATGATGAGTTAAAGACCGAAGTTAAATTTGACAAAATACCCCAAAAAGGCTCTTGGCTCTTATTGACTTCTTATAAATTATTATTATATTATTATTAGATCTAGATCTCGATTAGCCTAGCCATTAGGGGTCTAACTAAATTATATTTATATTATTATTAACCAAAAGCCTCCTCTTGTAGTATGTGGGACCTCTTGGACTTGGCATTTGTGGGCCTTTGCGCTTTGGCCTCTTAGTTTTTTTTAATTAAATTTAAATAGATTAATTTGGTGGCATTTATTGTTATATTCCCTAACATCTAGACTATATTCTAGATCTAGATTAGTCTAGATTTAGAATAAAGATTAAGGGTGTAGCCTTGATTTACAGATTTGGACTTCAGTTTGTCAATGACTGCTCATAACTCATTCCATTGACGGAAATGTCGGCTTTTATAAACACTTTATTTTCGACAATTTTATTCTTTTATCAAAAAAGATTGAAAGCCCTTCAAAAATGTCCCTCCATTATAAGAAGATTATAAAAAATATTGGCAGACAGCCTAAAGGTAGAGAAAAAGAAAGGCTGTAAATCTAATTTGTCTAAATATTATTTTACTTTAAAAACATCTGTAAAACTAACTGGCATGTTTACTGTTAGGTTTTTTTCTGTTAGGTGTTTTTCTGTTTAGGCCTAGCCTTTTTATTTTTAACACACGCTTAGTGTCATAGTCTAGGCAGGGCATTGGGGCCGTATTTTTAAAGTTGAGTAAGCTCTGAAGAAAGTTATTTTTTAAAATCTATAACAAACATAATAAGCATTGAAAACACACCACCCCCTATCACCAGAGTTTCTTCCAGGCAACTCTTCCCCCGAACGAAATGAAATTTATATAATTTGTATAGAAAATATATACTTTCAACAGTGTCCGCCCCCCCCCCCCCCCGAAGAAAGTCTACCGCCCCCCCCCCCCCCCGAAAATTTCAAGTGCCCCCCCCCCCCCGGAGAAAAAAGTCCGGAAGAACACTGCCTATCACTTCAACACCCTGATTGCCCAGACTCTACACATTTTTTTTTAAGTGTTTACTAAATTACTATTATGTTAATGCAATAGTTATTTCTTTGAAGATTTCTAAGGGGGTCATCCATAAATGCAGAGTTTCTTCCTGTCATCTCTTCGGTGGGGATCTGGAAAAAGGCCGACATGGACAAAAGGCCGACACGGACAAAAGGCCGACATGGATAAAAGGCCGACAAGTCAAAAGGCCGACATCCAAAAGGCCGACAAGTTTTATAAATAACAAACTAGAATTACAGGCATGTTTAATATCTAAAATATGTAATTATATACGACTTTTTAAGTTTCTCATAAATATTCGTAGGTACATACAATAGGATAAAATAAAACACACGATGTAGCCAATTATTTGTTGCCGATATATTGGTCCATATATAGGGAAATCACAGGGGTAAGTTTACACAAAAAATAAAAATAACTTACCAATTTTGGCACACTTGTATCACAATCACAACAGAATTAATGAATCCAACGAATATAGTATACACTTTTTTTCACGCTATTCGCAATGGACGAAACTAAAATATAATTCAAATTTTGTCTGTATTTAACATGTAGTCAAGTCAAGGCACGCGACTTTTCTACTTCATTCGGTATCTTTGACCTCCAGTCGCACGGACCCCATTGACCAGCTTATAAGGATCGCAACATGCATTGTCTCTTCGCGTTCTACCTTCTTGCATGTAGGCGATGATGCCGGCAGCTTTTGACTTGGTTCTTTGATGATTATCTCACCTCGATTATATAGAAGGAGCTACGAAAGACAGCAGTGACCGCATCTCGCTGATCTTTTGTGTTTGAGACACTCCCGTAATCTCCAGTCGCTTGACCCGATGGTTCACCTTATAAGGATATCAACTAGCACAGTCTCTTCTCTTGAACGTTTCGCCTTTTTCATGCCTTATTTCGATGGTAGTCAAGATAGGAGCTATTCAGTAAAACATATTTTTCCGATATCAGTATGTTTTATGCTTGTCGGCCTTGTGGTTTGTCGGCCTTATGGTCTGTCGGCCTTATGGTATGTCGGCCTTACGTCCTATCGGCCTTTTGGCTGTCGGCCTTTTGTCCATGTCGGCCTTTTGTCCGTGTCGGCCTTATGTCTTGTCGGCCTTTTGCCCTACACCCCTCTTTGTACACCCCCCCCCCCGAAGAAAGTCTACCGCCCCCTCCACCCCCCCCCCCCCCCGAACGAAATGAAATTTATATAGAACATATATACTTTTAACAGTGTCCGCCCCCCCCCCCGAAGAAAGTCTACCAGACCCCCTGAAAATTTCAAGTGCCCCCCCCCCCCCCGGAGAAAAAAGTCTGGAAGAAACACTGCATAAATGACGTCACGCTTTCTTGACGATTTTTACCTCCCCCCTTCCTTCCGTCACACATAGTCACAAAAAGCCTGACACCCCCTAAAATGACGTCACACCTCAGCGCAGCCTACAACCCCCTTCTAATATGCAGTTGAATTTTTCTTAAAATTTTTTCCAAAATCTTGTCTGAACTCTGTCAACATAGAGTATTTTAATCAATTCCTATAACAATTTATTAAACAGTTTCCTAAAACGCGAAGTAACGGCTAAAATTCGTTTTCAACATTGCACTTTTATTATGCAAAAGTGTGAGGTCACACCACCTGGAACTTCCCCCACCCCTCTTCATCATCACACACCGTCACAAAATTACGGACCGCCCCCCCCCCTCCCCTACGAGTGTGACGTCATAAATAGACGACCCCTAACCTTAATAGAACAGGAAGTCATGTTGTACTTCTTTCCAAAATATTTAATTTTGGTTGAAAAATATGCTTTCTGGCAACTTTTTCGTTCTTTATTTTACTTTAATTATTACGTGTCAACTTGTTATGCAGTTGACTCCGATTTCAGCCTGCTTTTCTTTTTGTATTTGCGGCCATAGCCTTTGTCCATCCCAGAACAAAATACAAGGCCGCAGTTGTTTTTTTTTTTTTTCATTTCGAAATTGTCTTACCTGGAAGCGATGCTTTCCCCAGCTATCGAGCCACAATTGCCCGAGGGATCGAACTCGAGACTTTTTGGTTTAGCAACCGACTCGACAACGCCGACCCCTCTTTCTGGCAACAACCATTTGGAACCACTGAACCAGCTTTCCAGGCCTATAAGATCTAGTCTAAATGCGATGTGATCACGGCTTTTCCGTGATAAGTACCTTAGGGCGCAAATCAGTAGCGTCCAAATAAGGGGGGTGGGGGGTGGGGCAGCACACTGCAAATGACAACATGGTAGTACATATTGGCCTACATGTATTTATATAAGTATATACATGTATATTTTTTAATATGTCTTTTTTGTTTTATATTTTAATAACTTAATTAACGAATAGTTTACAACAATTGTTTGAGAAATATGGTGGTAGTCTATATTTACAACATAAAGTAATTAACTTTTAAAGCGTTTTCAGTATATTCTATTATTTGAAAATTTTAATATTAAAATAAAAGACCATAGTAAAGTTAAGGACACAACTGCTAATTACATTTGTTTTTAAATATTTGTTATAAAAAGTTAAATATTTCTGTAAATAATATTTTTTTTTAAATTAGTAAATCGCCTCCCTTGATTTTGCCCGATCTACACAAGGGAAGTAATTAGTTTATATAGTAACCGCCAAATTTTGATAAGTCGTGGACCAAGAAATCGAAATCATGTTTCTCTCACAAAAGATTCCACCTCAATTGATCTATAAAGTAAATCATTGTTAGGTCACATTGATCAGAGGTCAGTGGCTAATGTGTGGGTGAGTTTATGGTCATTTCCCGCAATTCAATTTTTTCCCAGTTTCAATGCCATGAAAACTTTTAAAAACTCCCAGTAAATTTCCATTAACCACGACAACTCAAAAATACGTTAAACCAATTAGAATTTAGTTGGTTATTTAAAAATTATATTATTTCATGATTATTAAATTCAGTAACAAAAGGGGAGAAAACAAGGTTTAATAATAGTATCAAAGGCAGATTAATCTCTTTTGAGTTATTGATTTTGTCTTGAACAAAATACTTTTTACAGAGGGATTGACTGTTTAATTAAAGATAAATGTCCACGGAAAAAAAATACGGAAAAAAAATAATAATAAACAGTGATGTCTATGAAAGGATGTAAAACCCGCTGATCCTGTTACTTACATCTAAATTCTGCTCGTAACTCAAAGCAAAAAAAAAGAGCTCTCTCGAAAACCTCGTATTTCAGGGCACTCGTATGTCAATATACCAATATATATATATATATATATATATATATATATATATATATATATATATATATATATATATATATATATATATATATATACAAAAAATATTTTGTTACATGCAATAGAAGTGGCATCCAGTTGACACTTGTCTATTATGTCAACCAGACAACTGCAATGTTAGTTTAACGAGTGCATACACCACTACACACATACACTGTTGTACTCAACTTGCCTTTACTAATATTAGAAAATCCACAGGTGCCTAGTCATTTCCTCTTGGGATATTTAAACACATCACAAATCGCTACAACTATGCCACCTTTTATATCTCCTTTTGGGTCCCCATCTGTGTCTCCTGTCTGATTGAAAACATTTGTTTTTAAGTAGTGGTCCAGGCGTGTACAGGTAAACCATTGATTTCATTATTTCTTACCTCCCTTCCCCCCTGCCCCGTACACTGTAAGCAGATCAGGTAACCCCTAGCGTGTCACCAGCCAAGAATAACAAGGAAAGATAACCGTCGCACCAGTGTCGCCTTGTTGTATTGCTAAGGGCAATAATTAGTTTGTTACACTTAGTAGCCTAGTATGTGTCGTGGTTATAGATTTCTCTTTATTTTTTCGCAAAATAAACAATGGTGTTCCTACCTTGCATGGGCTTAATTAAGCATCATATTGCATCGCGGATAATATTTATGTTGTTTATTGCTAATATGGAAGTTCAGTTTTATTTGTGTACAAAGTTCTGATCTTTTAAATTCCGAGTTTAATCATAAGCTTGTATAACACATTAAAAGCTTAGGTGTATATCAATATTATCATAATTTTTAGTTAAGATTTCGTGTTTTTTTCCCAAAATAACGGACTTGTCACTTTTAAATTTTTTAAAATTTTCTACTTAAGCGTATGTCCAAACGTATTTCAAACCCATTTTATATGTATTTTGCTTATTGATATTGTCAATCGTTATGACGTTAGCACTCATGTTCTGTGCTTTTTCAAATTAGGCGCACTTACAAATTTCTATTTTTTTAATTGCGCGTTAAAAATTCAGGAGCGTATTTTGGGCGTTGGTTATGAGTGATGTTAAACCGTCCATAAAGAATGATTAAATTATGCTAGATCCAAATCTTGTAAACCTTGTTTTATTTGTCATGCTTCAGCTGATTTAAATCGTACATGTCATTTGTTTGAACGGGTTGTCCTTGACATAAATGTACGTTTAAAATATTCGATGCTTTATAGTTTTGGTAACTAATCCTAATCCCCATAAGACAAAGCCATAAAAATCACCAGAACTAAATCTAATTCTAAATCTAGTTTACCCAATACATAACCAATACACAAGACGGCAAAGGAAAACGAAAACAAACCTTTGTGTAAAAATCTTCCTTCTCATCCATTCGGCATTACCGTCATGCGCTATCGACTAAACCATTCTGCTCAATAATCTCCCATAATGCCCTGTCAACCATTGTTCTAACATCTCCCATAATGCCCTGTCAACCATTGTTCTAACATCTCCCATAATGCCCTGTCAACTATTGTTCTAACATCTCCCATAATGCCCTATCAACCATTGTTCTACCTTCTCCCATAATGCCCTATCAACCATTTTGCCCTACCATATCCCATCAAACCCTATTTAAATGATCTAATTACTTACAATTAGCGCCTAATTAACTATTCTAGCACTAACTCAACAGCCAGGGGGTCGGTGATTCGAGTGGACGTTATGACGTAATACCGAGCGTTGAAGTGCTATACATATTTCAACAGCCTTAGTCGGCCATGATTAAAAGATAAAAGGTCACACGCTACTGTACGAAAATTTGGGATTTAGGATTCATGTCCTAGTTTAAAATATAAAATAACATGACCTAGCATCAGTACTACTTAGGTGAATACTTGACGTTTATCTCTACGGAGCCGAAACCTAAGCCTTAAGCTAAAACCTAACCCGAGACTTAATCAATATTATCGACATACTATCAAAACAGTACGGCGTGCCCTAAGCGATAGAGCGCTAGACTTCTTACCTGAAAGTCTCGAGTTCGTATCCGGTTAGTAGAACGTCCTTGAGTCTCCCCAGTTCTAACGTGTACCTAACTCATGTTAGGGAAAGTAAAGGCGGCTGGGCAAAGTGCTGACCACACTTTCCCTTCATATGCTGAGGTCAAGAAATATATGAGCTCTATTTCACCTGCCCAATGATCGCTAGGTCTAAAGATGAACTTTTTACTTTTTTTTTCACTTTTCATCTATGCAATTATTTGGCTAGGGCCAATAAAAAAACCTAACTCATGTTAGGGAAAGTAAAGGCGGCTGTGCATAGTGCTGACCACACTATCTCTTTATATGCCGAGATCAGAGAAACAAGTGAACTCTACTTCACTTGCCCTATAGACCGTCAGGTTTGAAAGGGGAACGTTTTTTTACTTAATAAAAAAAAATAGCTAATGATTAAAGAAATAACTGTTTACAACTGTGACTGTATGTATTCAACGCTTCCGATTGTCAAGTAATTCTTATCTGATCCAATGTGAGTTGAGTTCCCATCAGAGTTGGGTGGACTCAGGGACGGTCTACTGAACTCATGCCACACGGGCTAGCAATCCAGCTCTCTACCGCTAGACCACTCCGTCCCCATTAGTAGATTAGCAAACACTTTTATTTAATATTAGGATTAGTAGAGTCAGGGTGTTGTGGTGATATGGGGATGTTATATTATCTCTATATAATATATATATATATATATATATATATATATATATATATATATATATATATATATATATATATATATATATATATAATATTATCTATATATATATATATATATAATTCTCCTTACCATGGAAAACCAGTTTTCTGTCTTTCATTGCTTTACTCTCCTTGGCCATTCCGATTGACTACAAGGAGAGGTTGAGGGCAGTTTTAAAAAAAAAATATTTGAATTGATGAAGTAATTCTAAACAGCTTTTCAACGGCTTATATTCAATACAAAAATACGAAAATGAGTGTAATCGATGGTTGCAAAACAGCTTCAAGTTTTTTTTAAATGCAACTATAATTTTATCGCTTTCCCTATTTTTTTAAAGATTTAAAAAAAAAAATGAGCATGAATACATAGACTTTTCAAGCCTAGTGTTTAAAAAAAAAAGAAAAGCTTAAATAATTCTGTAAAGCCAAGTAGCAGTCTACATTCTTAATTTCGACTTCCAGTGATCATCTGTCGTTTGGGGTTTATAGAAGGCCGTCTTCGTCTACTCATATATATATATATATATATATATATATATATATATATATATATATATATATATATATATATAGAGAGAGAGAGAGAGAGAGAGAGAGAGAGAGAGAGAGAGAGAGAGAGAGAGTTCATGTTGAAATTTTTATTAGGTCTATGTTCTTAACTTTAAGTGATGTTGTAAATGCGATTCATTGTTCTAATTTAGTTTGTTGGAGACTTTCTCTATAAAAAAAAAAAAAAAAAAAAAAAAAAAACACGACCCGTAGGATTTAAAACTAAGCCTCCCGTAAACTATTCCCCAGGGCGGGCTAAAGCTATTATGGGCGGGCTACGTCTACTACCTCTAAGCACGTATCACACAGCGCGTGTGGTCGAGAGTACATGCATTGTTTATAAGCAATGGCGGCTGGCGCATGCGCATGTGTTGTGATGGTACGTCGTGCTCTAGTTCTTACGCCATTGTAGCTTGTAGTGTTTTAAAAATAAAATAAAATAAAAAATATCCAAAAAAAATGTTATTTTAATTTGATATTGATTTAAAGGAGGTACGTAGCATGATAGACTATAGAAACTTTGAGACGGGAATAATAGTCCTACCTGTTTTCTGTGCGTCTGGTAGTCGTTAAATATATCAATCAACATATATGATCTTCTGCGTATTTTCAGTCATCGCTCGTGGGAGGGAGTGTAGGTGGGGGGGGGGGGGGGCGGACGGACGACAATGCCCTAAGAACGTGTCTACCCCATCCCCTCCTGCTTGGACGAACTAGAAAATTGTTAAATTTAAATAAAATTGTTATACTTTAACCACTATCAGTTCCAACCCCTCCCCCCCACCCTCAGCCCAAAAGTTTCAATTGTCAGGAAAAACCCTAACGGTCCTAGAGGTTAGTATTTGGTTCAGGTTCAGGTCTAGGTGTGAAGGCTAACTCTATTAATATACGTGTATATTGTTATTCAATTCTAGATTAGCCTAACTACAGCCCTAAAACACTCAAACAGTAACTCTAACCGAGAAAATTTCACAACTTCAATTCAGTCAACTACAGTGTTTCTTTCCAAATTATAAAAATTCCATTTTGTTCGTCGGGCTGGTGTGGGATAGGCTTTCTTTGGGGTGGGGGGGGGCAACCCCCCTCCCCCGAAGATGCCTGGAAGAAACTCTGGTCAACTACAACGTGCTAATCCTAATGCCAAACAGTTTTATACATTCAATAGACAAGTGCCACTAATACTATATTGTTTATCCCTCATTTACATTAATGTTTTTTTTCACTAGCTATTTTGCAATCAAGTTTATCAGGTAAAAACAAGTAAAATATAATTCCTAACCACTTTTTCTAATTGTTTTCAAATATCAAACACTGGACGGAATGTGAGTTCATTTTATTTTAACTTTCTGTATCTGGAGTCTATAAATCGAATACGTTCATAAATTATTAAAAAACACCACAAGTATTGAAAGAGAATTGATTGACAATAAATATGTGACTGTAAAGATTAACTCGTCACCATTTACCTGACATTTCTAAAACGATTTTCCGATGGTGATGGTTTTCTAGAAGATGTAGACAAATCAGATAAATAGCCTAAAGGCTTTCAGTTTTAAGTGATTCATCATTCTTGAACTGGATCATTAAATGTGGATAGATGTTTGATCGGACAGGTGATTTTGAGGTCACGTGTCTACTCGTGTCTATAAATTGTGTTGTATTTGTTTATTATTGGATACCTATTAGACCTGGGTTAACTCTAATAAGAACTTTAAAAAATGTTATTAAATACGTTCACAATAGGGCTTGTAAGTAGGTCACCAACTTCTTATCATACTAGCCAGCTAGTATTTTTCAAACCAATTGTGAAAATGTTTATTAAATCGGTAAAAAAGAAAGAAAGTTACTTACGCTATTGTTAAGTTATTTAAAATCGTAAAAACTGATAATTATCTTTGAGAATTCATCTGACCCTGGCTAACGAGATTTGAAATTTTAAGTAAGAGAAGCAAAGAGACTGACAAGCCCTATTACAAAATTCACTTTATAAACACTGAGATAATAGAGTTTGTTCGTTTAGTTTACATTGAATATTTCTCTCAAATATATGACTCCCCTAAGTTCAATGTATCACTTTTTGTTTTACTACTGCATGACCTTTATAATTATGTCCTCTGTATGACCTTTAATAGACATCTGCAAGGCCTCTATATGGCTACCGTGCGACCATATTTTGACCACTATGTGACGTATAAATGGCCATCCTTATGAACCCTCAATGACAGTTAAGTATGTCTACAACTGTATCATTTATATTGATACTTGGAATGTAACCATTTCACCTGACTTCTTTAATTGATACGAGCAGAACGGCCTCGCTCTACAAGGCTTGAGGCTTAATGTAGGTCCGATATATATATATATATATATATATATATATATATATATATATATATATATATGTTTGTATATGTATTTATATATACACATGTATAAGTCAACTAAAAACTTAAGCAATATACAAGTTTGCATGTATCCCTGAAGCTAGGGCATTGAAACCATGGTCCCATAAAAGGCATTGTAAAATCCACTGTGTACCATCCAATATACTCAGTATACTTACACTTCTACAATTTACATATATCTAATGCTCAATCTACAGCTGATAGAGCCTAACAATAAGTATATAGAGAGACGGGGCTTGAAAAGGCTGGTGCATTATTAATGGGAGTATCCTTGGTGATGTGGAGCCTCGTTGTGGGCTGTTGTGTGTAATGTGACTACACCTACTGCATGCTCCCTGATGCCAGCATCATTGTACATCAGGCTATTGGGTTACGTCTGTACTTTCTGCTTGTGTAATCTAATACTAGCTGTAACACTGTAAGTATATAGTATAAAAGACCTATCTTTCTCTCTCTCTCTCTCTCTCTCTCTCTATATATATATATATATATATATATATATATATATATATATATATATATATATATATATATATATATATATATATATTTACATTGGTTGATTTCATCAGGCAAATTTTTAAAAATTTATTTCACTATGGTGACCTTCCTTACACCTAATACATTCCATACTGTTTAGCATAAAAAATGATCTCCACCCGTCTGTATTTTGAGTTACCAAACAAAAGCCACAGTGTAGGAAAAACTTAGATTTAATTTGTATTTTGTTTTAGATGAAATTTTCCTGTAGTTTTGGCGTTGCCTCGGATTTTGTCGGTAGTTTTCACACACAAATTTGTGTGTATGTGTGAGTTGATGTAACTAAACACATAAACCTACCTAAAACTTTAGTACACATGCTTACAACTAATCAACACTTTTATAACTAAAACCATACTCACGCCTAGTACGTTTGTAACAATGTTTGTAATTACTAAATACTTTTACATATACAACTTGTACAAGTAATTAAAAAATTACAGTTTGTTATTCAGAGGCGTACCCCGGGTGGACTGTCAAATTTGCGCCGCCCCCGTCCCCTCCTAACCATTAGTATATTTATTCCTCAAAGGAGCACCCCCCCCCCCTCCACCTCATCAACTTGGAAAGGCCGGGGACGCTTTTACCAATCGCTATGCCTTTAACAGTTAATGTAGAAAACAATTAAATTAAGTCCGTAAAGTCAAGTGACATTATATTTTCTTAACTTCGACTATGTACATTTTTTGTTTAATTTCTCAAACCTGTTCAGAAACCCCAATAAGGTTGGCGTCCCCTTCTCCCCAGACCTCCCATTGCTACGTCTCTGTTGTTATTATAATGTTCGCAAACAACTAAATTCTTTAAGCAGTAATATTTATCCTCCTTTCATATTACTTTTTCAGGTTTGTAAAGTCTGGCTTTTGAACTAACAATTTTTTATTCACAGAATATCCCCCACAAGCAGCCATGCCTACACTAAGCCAGTGTAAAATATTGACGCGGATATTGGTCAAAAAGGCCCAGGAGTCTGCCAGTCAGTTCCAGGACAGCGTGCCAGACGATCAGGAAACACCGGAAGTTCCAGCGGAACCACCGTCCGATAATGTTGATGCTAATACAGGCTTGGCGGAATCTTGTCCGGAACTGCAGACGGATCAGGTCTCCAGAACGGATCCGACTAGAGAGAGGCGAGTCAGGTCTGCGAAAAGCGTGCGGATAGCAGACGATAGTGCTATGAGGGCGGTTCCGGAAGTGGAAGACTTGCAGCTGTCCTCAAATCCCGCGCAGGAACTAGACGAACCAACAGAGACAACAGATACAGATGTCTCACCAAACTCCCCACAAGACACGTCTAGGTCTCTAGCTGCAGACGAAACCACCGACATCAAAGTCACAGTCAAACCCTGTCTTAAACGCGGCACGAGCTGCTTCTTCAAACGACCCGACAGCCGGTCCAAAAGCGTGACCTTCGGACGACCTTCAAGCGGATTTTACCCGCTCCGCAACGCGGAAAGTCTGGAATCCGATTCCGGACTCTTCCCCGCGATAAAAAACTCCCAGGCCCAATCCGAACCGACAACGCCTCTGACGACATCTCGCGAAGGAGACAAATTCCCTCTATGGAGCAGGTACGGGTTCACAAGCGCGGACCCACAAGACGTCAGAACACGTCCTTCAAGCTGCGGTCCCGTTTTTCGTACCGCCAATCAAATCACCGGCGTCATGCAAAAATTCGACACGGCCCGGCGTAAAGGCTGGAACTTTGAACGCCGCTTCTCCTGCATCGAACCCAACCTCAGCGGCGTGTTCTCCATACGACGGGGCAGCATCATCAACAGAACGCTGTTCCCCATATCCATACAGACAGCAGCAATCAAGTCCACCCATGCCACGCCCGAGCCAGCCCCTGTACCCTACGAACCTTATATTATAAAAAACTGTCGCTTAATTAGACGGGATAGTGCGCAGTTGTCTCCGCCTTATAAAGATGAACAGAATAAAGAGGAAACAGATTTTAGAAGGGGAGACGAATTTAGTGAGTATATAAAGCAAACAAATCTCATCCATTTATTAACAGCCATTGTGCCTACTATTGCATAATCATAGTAACATATTTTAAGGATTTAGATAATAAAAGACAAATAAAGTAAAGTTCACCAGCGCATTGGCGATGTCATAATTATACTTTATCAACTTGAAGAGTAAAATGAAAAGCATGGAATAACGTGATCGTGTGGTAGGGCGTTTAACTACTGATACGAAGGATTCGAGTTCAGTTCTCGATCTAGTCTTTGAGTCTTTTCATGGAAATAAAAGGGGGCTTGTAAGGTACATAACACACAATCGTTGTATTTACTTACGTCATAGAAATTGAATAACACTAATCTGGCCGATAAGCATCTACTGGAAAAAAAATGGTACTGGAGAATTTTTTTAACAGCAATTACAATTGGGTTTTATAAAAAATCTCGTAGTTGTTAGAAAGGGAAAGACAACCTATATATTCTCCAAATATTTAGTTAACGTATGACATTTTGAGCTAGATCATGTAGCTGTTTAATGTGACGTTCCTATGACGCATATTACAATTAAACTTAAAACTTTTTTTTTTAATAAATAATTGTTAGTAAATGAATGATAATCTTCAAATTGGTTAACAAACACATTTCCGATCAAATGTTTTTGCCGATTTTTCACATTTGCAAACGTTTATCATTTAATTTAATATCAAATGTACTTATCATTCAATTTTTTGCTTTAATTCAATACAATTTGAACTCGTTTTTAATGAATCGATTAAGTTATCATTTAATTTAATAATATCATTTTAAATTTAATGTATCAAATTAAATTAGTCATGTAATTAAAAACGACGCCGCTTAAATCTCTGACTCTGCTAACGTCGTGACTATCTTTACCAGACGACGCTGACGACGACGCCAGCTCTGATGGTGACGCCGACAGTCTGGAGGTCTGTGCGGCCAGCTTGGACACGAAGGTGGAGCTGCCGAGGTGGTCGAAGGAGAAGCAGGCGATCATTGTGGACAGGCCTGTTTCAGCTGTTAGTCTCCCCGCGGGTAGGTTGATGTTGCTGTATGCTGCTGTGGTACGGTATGCTAATGCACGTTGCTATATGCTGCTCAGCGTTTCTTCCAGACATTTTTCTCCGTGGGGGGGGGGGGGGGGGGGGTAGACCCCCCCCCGCCCCCCCCTCCCCCTCCCCCCTCCGAAGAGATGCCTGGAAGAAACTCTGATGCTGCTGTGGTACTGTGTGTTCATGTACGTTGCTGTATGCTGCTGAGGTACTGTATGCTATTGTACGTTGCTATATGCTGCTGCGGTAATATATTCTAAAGTACGGTGATATATATTACTGTGGTACTGTATGCTAATGTACGTTGATATATTCTGCTGTGGTACTTAATGTTAATTAATGTACGTTGATATATATATATATTACTGTGGTACTGTGGTGCTAATGCACGTTGATATATGCTACTGTGGTTTATCGTAATTGAATGTATATTATTGTAATATACTGTAGTATACTGGATTTTTATATAAGTTATTGTAATTTGTGATACGGTGTGGTCGAATGGTAGAACATACGACTGCTAGCCCCAAAGTCGAGTTCGAATCCGGATTTAAGTCTGATCAGCTCTGAAGTTTACTGTTTGCTTTTGAATTTTAGGGTAATATATTGTACACTTTTACTGTAAGCAATTATATCTGAATGTATGCTAATTTAAGTGTCTATATGTTACTGTATACGCAGTATGTTCAGCTTGATGATGTATATCAGTTACTGTAAGTAACTGAGCGTTACTCTTCATTTATTCTATAATAGTGTATTTAACTTTTTGACTAAAATATAGGTACCATTGTCCAGAAGTTTGGCTTGTGGAATCAAAACGAACTGCTCAGCTAATGCATTTTTAAAGTTGTTCAATTGTTGCTCCTATAGGTACCATTGTTCAGAAGCTTGGCTTGTGGAATCAAAACGAACTGCTCAGCTAATACATTTTTAAAGTTATTCTATTGTTGCCCTTATATGTACCATTGTTCAGAAGCTTGGCTTGTGGAATCAAAACGAACTGCTCAGCTGATACATTTTGTTATTCTATTGTTGTCCCTATAGGTACCATTGTCCAGAAACTTGGCTTGTGGAATCAGAACGAACTGCTCAGCTGATACATTTTGTTATTCTATTGTTGCTCCTATAGGTACCATTGTTCAGAAGCTAGGCTTATGGAATCAAAACGAACTGCCCAGCTGATACATTTTTAAAGTTATTCTATTGTTGTCCCTATAGGTACCATTGTTCAGAAGTTTGGCTTGTGGAACCAGAACCAACTGTTATGCTGATACATTTTAAAACTTATTCTATTGTTGCTCCTATAGGTTCCATTGTCCAAATGCTTGCTTATGAAATCAGAACCAACTGCTCAGCTGATACATTTTTAAAATTATTCTATTGTTGCCCTTATAGGTTCCATTGTCCAAATGCTCGGCTTATGAAATCAGAACCAACTGCTCAGCTGATACATTTTTAAAATTATTCTATTGTTGCCCTTATAGGTACCATTGTCCAGAAACTAGGCTTGTGGAATCAGAACGAACTGCTCATGTCTGAAGAGACACAACAAGAACTTCAGAAACTAGGATTTAGGAAACCGTCCAAAGCCAAACGGAAGAAGAAAGCTAAAGGAAACGGGTGCTTGTTCTTTCTTTATTCTTTCTTCATTCTTTCTTTATTCTTTTTTTTTTCTTTATTCTTTCTTTATTCTTTTTAAATTCTTTCTTTATTTCTTTATGCTTTCTTTATTCTTTCTTTATTCTTTCTTTATTCTTTCTTTATTCTTTCTTTATTCTTTCTTTATTCTTTCTTTATTCTTTCTTTATTCTTTCTTTATTCTTTCTTTATTCTTTCTTTATTCTTTCTTTATTCTTTCTTTATTCTTTCTTTATTCTTTCTTTATTCTTTCTTTATTCTTCTTTATTCTTTCTTTATTCTTTCTTTATTCTTTTTAAATTATTTCTTTATTTCATTATGCTTTCTTTATTCTTTCTTTATTCTTTCTTTATTCTTTCTTTATTCTTTCTTTATTCTTTCTTTATTCTTTCTTTATTCTTTCTTTATTCTTTCTTTATTCTTTCTTTATTCTTTCTTTATTCTTTCTTTATTCTTTCTTTATTCTTTCTTTATTCTTTCTTTATTCTTTCTTTATTCTTCTATATTCTTTCTTTATTCTTTCTTTATTCTTTTTAAATTATTTCTTTATTTCTTTATGCTTTCTTTATTCTTTCTTTATTCTTTCTTTATTCTTTCTTTATTCTTTCTTTATTCTTTCTTTATTCTTTCTTTATTCTTTCTTTATTCTTTCTTTATTCTTTCTTTATTCTTTCTTTATTCTTTCTTTATTCTTTCTTTATTCTTTCTTTATTCTTTCTTTATTCTTTCTTTATTCTTTCTTTATTCTTTCTTTATTCTTCTTTATTTTTTCTTTATTCTTTCTTTATTCTTTTTAAATTCTTTCTTTATTTCTTTATGCTTTCTTTATTCTTTCTTTATTCTTTCTTTATTCTTTCTTTATTCTTTCTTTATTCTTTCTTTATTCTTTCTTTATTCTTTCTTTATTCTTCTTTATTCTTTCTTTATTCTTTCTTTATTCTTTCTTTATTCTTTCTTTATTCTTTCTTTATTCTTTGTTTTATTTGAAAATTATCGTTACATTATTGCTTAAATGAATAAAAAAAAATTACCGAAAGGTTATATAGTGAGTTTCTCACAAGCTCACACACATGCAAATACACATTCACACACACATACACGCATATGAATATGCACGCGCACAAACCCACACCCACACGTACACATATGTATATACACACACGCACATATATATATATATATATATATATATATATATATATATATATATATATATATATATATATATATATATATGATATCTTATTGCCCCTAGTAAAGGAACTAGGATTGACCTAACTGGGCTTGTCACTGGAAAATTGGAACAAGTCGCAAAGAAAATTGAAATCAACCTGCAAAAAGATCCGGTATTAATTAAGGTGAGCATGATAAATTACTTAGATAGTGCGTGTGTACCCAGTTTTAAAGTAGAAATAGATTTTTAAGATCGGTAGTAAGAGGGTTAAAATTGTTATCTCGCAACAGGTGAGCAAGAAAAACCGCAACGTGGGCAAGTTCCTGGGACCGCCAGAGCCCCAGCCCAACGCCGTGTGTTTTGAGGTACTCGGGACTCTACTGAACCACTCGGACGTCAAGCAACAGCTGGGGGACCTGCTCAAGACGTGCCCGGAGGTGAGTGGGGGGGGGGGGTGGGGGAGTGGGGGGGGGGGGGTGGGGGGGGGGTCAGCGATGAGTAGGGTAAATGGTTTGGTGGGTGTGGGGGGGGGGGTCAGAGGTGTGTAGGGTAAGTGGGTTGGGGTGGTCAGAGGTGTGTGGGGTAAGTGGGTTGGGGTGGGTGGGGGGTCAGAGTCGTGTAGGGTTAGTGGGTTGGGGGTGGTCAGAGGTGTGTAGGGTTAGTGGGTTGGTGGGGGTGGAGGGGTCAGAGTCGTGTAGGGTTAGTGGGTTGGTGGGGGTGGAGGGGTCAGAGTCGTGTAGGGTTAGTGGGTTGGGGGGGGGTGGAGGGGTCAGAGTCGTGTAGGGTTAGTGGGTTGGGGGTGGGTCAGCGATGTATAGGGTAAGTGGGTTGGTGGGGGCGGGGGTTGGTCAGATGTGTGTAGGGTAAGTGGGTTGGGGGTGAGGGTAAGTGGACAAAAGTGAGTGTGTTGGGGAGGGGGGGGGGGATGGTCAGAGTTGTGTAGGGTAAGTGGGTTGGGGGAGTATGTTGAGTGTGTTTGGGGGAGAGGGTTAGAGGTGTGTAGGGATAGTGAGTTGGTGGGGGCGGGGGTTGGTCAGAGGTGTGTAGGGTAAGTGGGTTGGGGGAGTATGTTGAGTGTGTTTGGGGGAGAGGGTTAGAGTTGTGTAGGGTAAGTGGGTTGGAGGAGTATGTTGAGTGTGTTTGGGGGAGAGGGTTAGAGGTGTGTATGTTACGTGGGTTGGGTAGGGGGTGTGTCAGTCGTTTGTAACGTAAGAGGACAGAGGTGAGTGTGTTGGATAGGGGGGGGGGGGTAGAGTAAGGGTGACAGATGTTATGGGTTAGGCGGACAGATCACTTTTGTAAACCCGCCCACGAATAATAGTTACAATCTAACAACAACAAAATTAGATTGACAAAACACCCGGAAGAGAAGTGGTCCTTTGAGCTGTAACTATGCTCAGTGTTTCTTCCAGCCTTATTTCTCAGGGGGGGGGGGGGGGGGCGGACACTGTTAAAAGTATAAATTTTCTATATAAATTCCATTTCGTTCGGGGGGGGGGGGTAGACTTTCTTTGGGGGGGGGGGGGGGTCCTATGCCCCTCAGAAGAGATGCCTAGAAGAAATACTGACTATGCTAAAGGTGATTCTCTAAGACATTGGTTCCCTAATTGGGAAGTGTAACTGAAGAACAAAGTAAACCTTTAAATATTTGAACAATATTAAAATACACTTATATTAATCTTTAGAATAGCCACACTTAAAAAGCGAAGTATATCATATTTTAATAACATTGTTGAGCAATAAAAGTGTTGTACGTTGAATATTAAACGAAGTTATTATGTATCCAAGGGACAATACCTATAGCTATGTTCTTAAAAAATCGTTAAAATTCAAATAAATTCAACAGTAATCAAAATAAAAGATACGTTCTTTTCTTATCAAAAGTGAACATTTACAATTTTTAATCAACTGTGTCCAGTATTATTCAGTTATTTTAATTTTAATTGTTTTTATTATATTTAAAACAACGAACTGTTAATAGTCATAAATATTTAATTTAAAAAGGCATAAAAAAATTAAGTTGTAATTGATGCTTGTGCGGTACCATAATACATGTATAATCGCTTTAGTTATACGTAAAACTATCAAACAAATTATAATTACTCAGTGGCGTAGCGAGGTCGGGTGTCACCCGGTGCGGCACTTAATAGTGTCACCCTTCCCCAGAGGCGTAGCGACCCTTCCCGGGGACAAACTTTCAAATTTTCGATTAGCACCCCTCCCCCCTCAAACTTTCGATTTGCACCCCTCCCTCAAGTTTTCGATTTGCACCCCCCCCCCCCCCCCCCTCAAACTTTCGATTTGCACCCCCTCAACTTTTTCTCCATATATTTGGCTTTTTTTTTGCCTTGGTGTCACCCCGCTAAATGGTGTCACCCGGTGCGGTCCGCACCCCCCCCCCCCCTCGCTACGCCCCTGTTATTACTTATTTAAATGTTTAAAACAATTGAATTAATAAAAAAAATGTTTGAGGACTCTATAGATATAGGTGTTTGGAAGGGAAGAATGTTTGCTTTGATGTGTCACATTGTAATAACATAACTTTTCAGATTGCTTAAAATTTGTATAATTTTAATTCTCTGTAATCGCAAATTTATTTCAGCTCAACTTAAAAACCCAAATTCTACCCCCCTCCTCACCCACCACGCCGAGGGAAAATAATCCCTTGAATTATCATTTAATTACACATTTGCATTTTTAGGTTGTTTTTTTTTATTAATATTTAGACGTTTTTGTATTAGATCTATGTATAAGTAAACCATCTTAAATGAATGAAAGTAGGCTACAAGTAAGAAAGAAATATTACTATTGTAAATCTGTATCAGTCCTCACAAGCCGATGATGAAAACTGTAATACTAAAGCGAACACACAACTGACGCTGTAAATTACATGTCTGAGGCGGAAAAAAAAATGTGTCGATATGTCAAAACAATGTTTTTCAAACGCCCGTTGTACAAACATGCAACGAGAAATGGCGCAATTATGTTTGTATGTGTGTTTGTGTGTGTGTGTGTGTGTGTGGTGGGGGGGGGGGCTGATACTTGCCTACTAAAACCCCCGGCCCCAAGTCGTGTGTTTCGATCCACAGGTCACCCCATCCACTCAGATCTCCTATACGTGACTAAATGACTTAGGCTTGATTAGATTATGGGGACTGGGCTTGGTTAGATGTATTAGCTTAGGCTTGATTAGATCATGGGGACTGGGCTTGGTTAGATGTATTAGCTTAGGCTTGATTAGATTATGGGGACTGGGCTTGATTAGATGTATTAGCTTAGGCTTGATTAGATGTATTAGCTTAGGCTTGATTAGATTATGGGGACTGGGCTTGATTAGATGTATTAGCTTAGGCTTGATTAGATGTATTAGCTTAGGCTTGATTAGATGTATTAGCTTAGGCTTGATTAGATGTATTAGCTTAGGCTTGATTAGATTATGGGGACTGGGCTTGATTAGATGTATTAACTTAGGCTTGATTAGATTATGGGGACTGGGCTTGATTAGATGTATTAACTTAGGCTTGATTAGATTATGGGGACTGGGCTTGATTAGATGTATTAGCTTAGGCTTGATTAGATTATGGGGACTGGGCTTGATTACATGTATTAGCTAAGGCTTGATTACATGTATCAGCCTAGGCTATTTTGTCTAGGATATGCTGTATAGGATATTTTGTCTGAGATCATTTGTCCTGTCACCTTATCCGTTATTTTCAATGACGCTATCTTTTTCTGACTCTTTTACTCTCAATAATATATCCATATTATCCTTCTTTACTTTAACACAGAAGATCACTGATTCTACCACCATCCTAAAGAAACAAACTTAAAAAAAAAAGTTTCAATAAAGGACCCAACGAAGTTCGGTCAAGATCTAATCCCAACTTCGATCTGTTTGAAGAGCGTCTCCTCACCCCTGCCCTTCGGCCTCGATCGAGTTTTCTTGTGCCTATTCGGTTTCTCGATATTAATTCCTGTGGAATCAATCGAAACCTTTCAATCTTTACACACTGTTCGGCTCTACCTTACAGGGGTCCGAGTTTCTTCCAGGCTTCTCCCCCCTCCAAAGAAAGTCTACAGCCCACCCCCACTCCCCGGAAAATGTCCCCCCCTTCCCGAAAATATCAAGTGCCCCCCCCCCCCCCCTCGCTATGGAGAAAAAAGTCTGGAAGAAACACTGATTGGGGTGGAAGATGCCTAGAACAACATTTTAAAATTATTTTTTTTCTAGATTACTTAAGGACAGCATTGTCAAAGACTATTTGGCATGATTCATGTAAATAAACTGATAGAATAATGGGGTTTAATACGATAGTGCGATAATTTTCATCTTTTGGCATTTTGTTCCTCTTGTGAATAAACAAATGATTATCTTCCCGGGTCAAAAACTTGGTATCTAAAAAATGAATAATTTTGTCATTTCAGTGAACACAATAAACAGTGTTTTTCTGTTATTTTCCCACGTTTTCTTTAACTTGCTTTCGCGTCTGTTTGTTTTTCCATCAAATCTTGCGATCAAAATTTCGGGCACTCCCATTTAGCTAGCGCGCTTAAATTTACAGGGAAGCTTTGTTTCCGATGACAATACAATATTCAATTATTATTATACTAAATTGATCCATGGAAACACTTTTATTGATCATTTTAGACTGCTATTGATTTTGTACAAAAAAGGGACATAACCTGAGTAATTATAATTTGATAAAAAACAACCTTCGGTACTTTCCCTTGAAAAAGATCGAAACCGAAAATCTGCTGCTTTAACGATGAGACAGAAGAACATAGTGTCTCTCGTAAAGCAAAAGTGCGTCATCAAACTGCTCGTGCGATTGAGACAGAACAAGAAAGGGTCCTCTCGTCTTGCTAAGCAGAAAGAACGAACTGATGCGGCACTTGTGATTTTTGTCATAAATGCGCACGCAGTTTGCGATCGCTTATAGTAGAGTGATCGCTTGCATTATTGTGATGTATAGCATTATTTTCTACTTTTTAGTTCAATCAGAAAACGTAGGTTTTTTAAATTTTTTTAATGATAATTATTTGTGCTTGGGGTAGGGTAAGCACTTAAAACTTTCGGAGAAGGGGGGGGGGGCTTACTTAAATTTCCGGGTGGGGGAGCAAGAGCACTATGACAGTATATATTTTCTTTATAAAAAATTAGGTTATTAAAATTTCGATTAAATCTGTATTGTCTCTCCGCCTTTGAGCCTTTCATCATCGTGAGTTTATTCGCAGTCGACAATGTGTGTTCTTAGTCCTGTGTCTTGGTCTCTACGTGGATCTTTTATTCTTTATCTCTGTATCTTTGTTTTCAAATGCATGTTCTGTACGGGTTAAATTTGCGGACAACTTGCTTGTTCTGTGCTCTTTAACGAGACGTGCTTGGATTTAAGCTGAAGGTAGATGTAGTCTAGTCTCAGGGATCTCAATGGATGCCGTGTATGTTCTGGTTTTTAGCGCAATTTCCATACGGACAATTGCGATTATTAACTCGTTCTGGATGGATGTGTGTCCGATGTGTGTCCGCAGCTTTAAGTCGTATCTCCCTCCTCAACGAAGCAATATCGAGGACCTAGTTCCAAAAGCAAATATGTTAAGCAAGTTCCGATGATGATTGTGGGCCAAAAAAATTCATTCCCGGAATTCCTTCCTGGATTCCCGGAAAAGCCAAAAAAAAAAAAAAAACTACACGTTGAACGATATTAGTGACAAAGCAAAGAAATAACTAAATAGCTAAAAAAAAATCCGGACACATTTAAAATAACATAGACTACCAATACCTATTAGAAAAATTAAAACCAAATTATATACATTATTAGTCAACACAACACCATATTAAATGTACACACTGATTAAGAGACTTAAAATTAAGAGACTTAAATTGTTTTGTTAAAACCCCGGCTGTTCGATGGTAGTTATGTGTTTGTGTCTTTTAAAAACACCTATTTCGGCTGAGCACGGGTCTGACCACACTAATCCTTCATATGCCGAAAAAACACAAACAGGTATACTCTACTTCACCTGCTCCGTGTCCCCGCCAAGTCCCGATAGGCTACTTTATCATTCACATCTAAAAATAAGTGAAAAAAAAATTGACAATGACGGGGTATGTCTCAAACACGTACCACCCGCTTGGTAACTATTTCACTATCATTGCAGCTATTTAGGCACTTCAACTTTTAAGTGCAGAATACTTTACTTAGAAACTTGAGTTACGCGAATAGGCCCTATTATTTCAAAATGAAATTGTATCCCAAATTAGCCAATTCCATAGCTAAACAAAGATTTATATAAAATAATTAAGGCCTGAAATAGTTTAGTTTAGAAACTCATTATTGGCAATAAATTCTAGGATCAAGATAGAGCTAGAATCTAGAATATACGGCTGGCTTTAGTCTAGTTTTTCCGTATCTGTCTGTCTCTCTCTGTCTCTCTCTGTCTCTCTCTGTGTGTCTCTCTCTCTCTCTCTCTATATATATATATATATAGCCTATATATATATAGCCTATATATATATAAAGCCTATATATAAATGTATATAACTCCTAATATCAGTAATCAATGGCTCATTAGTTTTGATACAATACATCGCTGGAAATTTTTAAGTATTGTTTTTGTATTGAATTTTTACATTGTATTATTAACATTTCTAATATCCAAGGGAAGCAACCTAGGTCCTAATATCTATATTCTTAAAAGTTAAAGATAAATTCTGTAGTTAACAAAATTCTAATTATTGATTTATATTTATTGCTGCATTGAACATGCTATATATAAGTCATAGATTAATTCATGATATAATATATATATATATATATATCTGAGTAGATTTTAAAACTATATTCAACTGTAATTAAAACATTAAACCAATAGCTAGATTAATATCTTAATTAAAGAAATTTTAATAAGAACCTTTGCTTTCCAATATACTACTAACAATAGTGTTAACAGAGCGAAACGAGATTTATATAATTTAATTACACAGTAGCTTCTTCTTCTTCTTCGTTCCTAATAATTAGTGTTGGAGGGGATCGAGCCTTATGTGCCAGAGGGTTTGAACTCGAGACTTTTTCGAATTTATCAACACATTTGCATTTTCAGGTGTTTTTTTTTTTAAAACCCAATCTTTTTTAATTAAACGTTTTGTATTAGATCTATGTATAAGTAAACCATCCTAAATGAATGAAAGTAGGCTACAAGTGAGAAAGAAATATTACTATTGTAAATCTTTATCAGTCCTCACAAACCGATGATGAAAACTGTAATTCTAGAGCGAACATGCAAGGCAAACTGACGCTGTAAATTACTTATTTGAGGCAAAAAAAATATTACATTTACTAACATTGAAACACCATTAAACAAAACATTACAAATTCAGGATTGTAGGTACAATTGGAATTCTACGTTTTATAACAATGTCATGTATAAGTAAACCATCTTCAATGAATGAAAGTACATGTGGGAAAGAAGTATTATTATTGTAAATATGAGTCAGTCCTCTCAAACCGATGATGAAAACTGTAATGCTAAAACAAACATGGCAAGGTAATATTACATGTTTGAGGCAATAAAAAAAAAGAAATAAAAAAAAATTATTTAATTGACTAAAATAACAATCAAGCAGATATGAGAATTTGTTCTTGTATTACAATTAGAAACAAGCACAAAACCATAATACAAAAAAAATCGAGTTTAGTAGCGAGCTGTCTAGTCTGTAGCCCTTAGCCCATCTAGTCCACTGGAGAGGTGTCTGCAGCCGTTTGTCCCTCTAGTTTGGTTGCTTATCTCAGCTAGAGAGGTGTGTCTGTAGCCCGTTGTTTATCTCAGCTAGAGAGGTGTGTCTGTAGCCCTTTGCTCATCTCAGCTAAAGAGGTGTGTCTGTAGCCCTTTGTTTATCTCAGCTAGAGAGGTGTGTCTGAAGCCCTTTGCTTATCTCAGCTAAAGAGGTGTGTCTGTAGCCCTTTGTTTATCTCAGCTAGAGAGGTGTGTCTGTAGCCCTTTGCTTATCTGAGCTAGAGAGGTGTGTCTGAAGCCCTTTGCTCATCTCAGCTAGAGAGGTGTGTCTGAAGCCCTTTGCTCATCTCAGCTAGAGAGGTGTGTCTGAAGCCCTTTGCTCATCTCAGCTAGAGAGGTGTGTCTGAAGCCCTTTGTTTATCTCAGCTAGAGAGGTGTGTCTGTAGCCCTATTGTTTATCTCAGCTAGAGAGGTGTGTCTGAAGCCCTTTGTTTATCTCAGCTAGAGAGGTGTGTCTAAAGCCCTTTGCTCATCTCAGCTAGAGAGGTGTATCTGTAGCCCTTTGTCTCATCTCAGCTAGAGAGGTGTGTCTGTAGCCCTTTGCTCCTCTAGCCCAATTTCTGTAGCCCTTTACTCCTCTAGCCCAATGTCTGTAGCCCTTTGCTCCTCTAGCCCAATTTCTGTAGCCCTTTGCTCCTCTAGCCCAATGTCTGTAGCCCTTTACTCCTCTAGACCAATGTCTGTAGCCCTTTACTCCTCTAGCCCAATTCATGCAGCCCTTTGCTCCATGTGATTCATTCAATTCATTGAAAAACTCCGTCTGATTGATGTTGTATATGCAGCAACACCCAATACTTAAACTAATTCAACAGAGAAATTTTTTTTTGTGTAGTTTCAACTGATACTACCCATACATACAACTGATTTGTACATTGATGCAGAGTCTGTGTTATAAAGAGTATGACAATTTACATCTTAGGATAATGATGATGTCATGTCTGCTAATCCTTGGGATTAACTCATTCTATTCTTGTCGTACACAGGTGAAGCTGGTCGGTATAAAGTTTGATCATAGGGCCATCTACAATAGCTCCTCGGACATGTATAACAGGTAAGTAGGGGGGTCAGGTAAATGTGGGGGTGGTATAAAGTTTGATTATAGGGCCATCTACAATAGCTCATCGGACATGTATAACAGGTAAGTAGGGGGTCAGGTAAATGGGGGGTGGTATAAAGTTTGATCATAGGGCCATCTACAATAGCTCCCCTGATATGTATAACAGGTAAATGTGGGGTGGTATAAAGTTTGATCACAGGGCCATATACAATAGCTCCTCGGACATGTATAACAGGTAAATGTGGGGGGGGGGGGGTCAGGTAAATGTGGGGGGGGGGTATAAAGTTTGATTATAGGGCCATTTACAACAGCTCCTCAGATATGTATAACAGGTAAATGTGGGGTGGTATAAAGTTTGATCACAGGGCCATTTACAACAGCTCCTCAGATATGTATAACAGGTAAATGTGGGGTGGGGTGGTATAAAGTTTGATCACAGGGCCATTTACAGCAGCTCCTCGGACATGTATAACAGGTAAGGTGGGGGGGGGGGTATAAAGTTTGATCACAGGGCCATTTACAACAGCTCCTCCGACATGTATAACAGGTAAGTGGGGGGGGGGGTCAGGTAAATATGGAAAAGAGGGGTATTTGATAAGATATGTATAATAGGTAATTGTGGGGGGGGGGGGGGTTCAGGTAGAAGTTAAGTTCCTTTTCAAACCTGACTGGGCAAGTGAAGTAGAGTTCTGTGAAGGGATAGTATGTACACGTCAAAGCTAGCTGGATGGTATACTGTTTTGGACCGGATTCGACCTCTCTACTGCTAGACCACTACGTCCCAGGTACAAGTGGAAGAGGGTATTAGATAAGCTATGTATAATAGTTAAGTGTGGAAGGGTAAAAGTGGGGAAGGGATTATTGGATGTATAACAGTTAAGTGTCAGTTAGCTAAAGGTGGAAGGGAGGGAGGTATTTGATGAGATTTATATAACAGGTAAAAGTGTTGTTTGGTACCTGGGGTACACTTGGCTAGGCCTACAACGTGGGGTCAAGTAAAAGTAGAGAGGTGTTTTTTTAATTAGATACGTATAACAGGTAAGTGGGTTTAAGTTAAAGGTAGGGGGTTATTTGATCAATCATGTGTAACAGATTAGTGTGTGTGTGGGGGGGGTGTGGGTGGGAGGGGGAGGGGGGAGTTAGGTAAAAAGATGTGTGGGTACGACTAGTGGTTGTTTTGGATTAGGTGGTCGAGTTGTGGGGGTTGTATAATTGTGTGGTCCAATGGTGTGTTTTTTGTGTGTGATCATCAAGTTGTGTGTTTTTGTGTTGCTGAAGTTGTAAAGTGGTCGTGTCTTATTGTTCAGCACGGTTAGTTTTTGTGCATTTGAAGTTGTTTTTATTTTGTTGTTTTGATTTATAGTGTTTTAATATGTTGAATTACACTGTTTATGTTGAGTTACAGTGTGTGTTGTTTGGCTACGTAGTTTTATCAAGTGTTATGTTGTTGTGTAGTTGTATTGTGTGCTACAGTCTGTTTAATCATTAGTGAAGTCAAGTAAAAAGAATGTTTATATCAAGTAGTTTCTGATTCAATTGTGTACAATTGGTCCTGTTAATTGGTCCTGTTGTGAGAGAGAATTGCTCACCAATCTCTTCTCTATAGGGCTGGTAAGTTCTTTGGCTCATGCAGGTTTTATTGAGCCGTAGAACTGGTGACCTACTTACCAGCCCTATATTCAACGTATTTTTTTTTTAAATATTGTTTTGAGTAGGGAGATATTGTGTACCTACAAAAAGTTTTAGCTATAAAAAAATGAAATTTAAGACTCGAATGTTTATTGTTTAACCTTCCTGCTGTAAATCATTACCACATTAGCACTTAATTACACCAGTATTAAATTACGATGAGTTGTTTCCCCATTAAAAGATTTAATTAAATTACCATTTTATTTGTGATGGAAGGAATATTATTTTAAACGCTTTTTAAGTTAATTTTTTTAATATTGATTATTTTTTTTACCGTTATTTAAAATTTTAATACTGATTTTTTTTTTTTACCGTCATTTTTTTTTTTTTTAAATACTAAATTTTTTAATTTGTTAACCTTAAATCCACCCCCCCCCCCCCTCCCAAATCACACTGATTATTTGTTGAGCGTTAATCCACCAACCTTACATCGGCAGGTGGATTATAACTACCAGCACGGTGGAAGGCCGGAACCGGCTGTCCGGTGGCAACTTGACCTTCGGTGACCTCACGGTCCAGCTGCGCCGGTACGATGACGTCATCAACAGCGAGTACCAGCAGTTCACGCGCATGCGCAACTTCGTCAAGATGATGAACCACCGCAAGATACTGGGCGGGAAGTTCCAGGCCGACACGACTGACTGACTCCTGTACAACAGCTAGCGCTTCACACTTTGATCGAGTTTCTTTCAGGCATCTCATCGAGGGGGGGGGGGGGGAGGAATCACTATCGCCCCTAAGCACACACACATTTTTTTTTATTTTAACCAGTGTTCGCCGCCCGTAAGGAACCAATACCCCCACCCTCGGAGAAAAATGTCTGAAAGAGACACAGCCTTTTTAATGCACGATTTAGATGCCTTCATTGGTGTCGGCAGGGAAGTGTTAAATGAGTTATAACCTACCCTGCTATGTTGCTGTCAATCATGAGAGTTGTCTCACGTTAGGATATTGGCGACGGTGGGCTCGTCTCAAACACTCACATGCACGCACGCACACACGCACACAATTATATATATATATATATATATATATATATATATATATATATATATATATATATATATATATATATATATATATACGAAACCACACACGCACACAATTATATATATATAAATAAATATATATATATATATATATGTATGTATGTATTATATATATATATATATATATATATATATATATATAATACGTGAGTGTGTGTGTTTTTGTATTTAAATATACATGTATGTATATAGGGAACTCCCCCACCCCAATACCAATTACTGCCAACGCCACTGGGTACCTGTATAAAGAAGGACCATTTGTAATTATTACTCGTAACGCTTCTAGCTTTGTCTCAAGTGTACAGTTTTAAATTATTGACAATTGGAACAAATATGTACAATACATTTAACAATTGCAGAGCTGTTGAAAAAAAGGAAAGGTACATATTTTTTTTGTTGTTGCTAACACAGTTCTTGTAATAAAAATTGATCAATAAAATTATACATTTTAAAACAAAAAATGTTGTTTGATTTACCCGTGCTTCGCACTTCTCGTATGGTTACTTGGTTAAGCGTCATTCGTTGAGGAAACTGATGGTTCCCCCCCCCCCCTCCCCCCCGCACAAACACTCATACACAAACAATAGTAATTTTTCTGGTTTTTTAATAACCCCTTCACACTCTTTTTTTCCCCTTTGAACTAAATAAAACATTGGTATGACATTGAAATTTTCATTTTGGTATTACCACCAGTGCGTATACCCAACCCTTCCCCTTCTTCCCTCCCCCTCCCACCCCCAATCTCCCACTTGTCTTTTGGCGCTCCTGAATTTTACAAAAGAACAAGAGATTCACAAAAGAATCGGATAAAAACAAGCCCCTTTTTACACAATGTTAAATCTTTTTTTTTCGTCTTGTCGAGAGCGAAACCTTTGCAATAGGAAGATCGATTTTAAATCCTGATTCATCGAACCCGGGTAAAACAAGCGCAATCTTGTCCGCTCTCACAAAGCTTATCCACACATTCGAATGGGTACACATCTATAAGAGATATCGATCGGTATCAGTGTTTCTTCCAGACTTTTTTCTCCGGTGGGGTACTTGAAATTTTCTGGGGGTGGGGGGGCGGTAGACTTTCTTCTGGGGGGGGGGGGACACTGTTAAAAGTATATATATATATTCTATATAAATTTAATTTCGTTCGAAGGGGGGGGGTAGACTTTTTTCGGGGGGCTCAGAAATTTTCTGGGGGTGGGTGGGGCGGTAGACTTTCTTCGGGGGGGGGGGGGGACACTGTTAAAAGTATATATATATTCTATATAAATTTAATTTCGTTCGGAGGGGGGGGGGGGGGGGGGGGGTAGACTTTTTTCGGGGGGCTCAGCTTCCCCCCCCCCCCCCCCCCCGAAGAGATGTCTGGAAGAAACTCTGATCGGTATTGAAAGAGCTTCGCAATGTTTCGCTGTTTATATGATGATGAATTGGGATTTAATACATCTTTAAATAGGAAAAGAGTGTGGGTGTAGGGGGGTTGATGTACATGGAGTTTGTAATTGATGTAAAGGGGGGGGGGGGTGAATATAAAAAAACGAGGGGGTAATTAACAATTGGTAATTTATTTATTTTTGTGGAGGGGGGGGGGGAGGAAATTTTTCCTGGGCATTGTGGTTTATTAACCGTGGGTATTTAATTCGCGGGGAAGGGAAATGTCAGGATCCTGCTATAATTATGTTTTAGCTGTTCAAAAACTAGTTTTGGTATCAACAATTTGAACGGAAGAATGAGATTATTTAAAGAGGGAGGGGAGAGCGGGTTATGAACCCAGCGAAAAAGCACTGTGATATACGGAAACCGATGTGGATAAATAAAAAGGGAAAGGGACATTATAATTATCCAATACTATTTGTATAACGATGTTTTTTATAAATTGTACTTGTTTTTTTTATTAGCAAGGTTCTATGATAGAATATGGTGGTCTTTTTTTTACTAGGAAGGTTTGGTTAGTTCTCAATGTATGACTCTGGTCAATGCTCTCTCTAAGCTGCGCGGTTATGCGGCCGCGCAATTTTGAACTGCCGCGCAGTCATGTTATAAAATACATATTTGTTTAAGACTTTTAAACACCGGACACACGAAATACACGTTGCGCACTAGCTTTTTCTCGTTAGAGGGCACAATACAGGTCAGGACGGTGTTCCTTTTAAATTTTATGCTATCAATAAAAAATTGTTACAGTGTGTATTGCGGGATAACAATTTGAAACCATATCAGTTACGTGGTTACCCGATTTTGTGCTGTTATATTTTGTCGTGAATTCCGTTGTACCATACACCCCAGAACAATGTACCGGAAACATACAACCGGAAACATACATCCGGAAATATACATCCAGGAACAATCTTCCGAAAACAATCATCCGGAAACAGACATCCGGAAATATAAACCCCGGAACAATATTCCGTAAACAGACATCCATGAACAGATATCCGGAAATATACAACCCGGAACATAAACCCAGTAACAGATACCCACTATTAATCACCCACGTAATACGAAAAAAAGCTTTGGGAACTAAACAGCTTGGAACAAACACCAGACAACAACCCACGGGGAACAACCCACGGGGAACAACCCACAGGGAACAAACACCAGACATCAACCCACGGGGAACAACCCACGGGGAACAACCCACAGGGAACAAACACCAGACATCAACCCACGGGGAACAACCCACGGGGAACAACCCACGGGGAACAACCCACAAAGAACAAACACCAGACATCAACCCACGGGGAACAACCCACGGGGGAACAAACACCAGACAACAACCCACGGGGAACAACCCACGGGGGAACAAACACCAGACAACAACCCACGGGGAACAACCCACGGGGGAACAAACACCAGACAACAACCCACGGGGAACAACCCACGGGGAACAACCCACAAGGAACAAACACCAGACATCAACCCACGGGGAACAACCCACGGGGAACAAACACCAGACATCAACCCACGGGGAACAACCCACGGGGAACAACCCACGGGGGAACAAACAACAGACAACAACCCACGGGGAACAACCCACGGGGAACAACCCACGGGGGAACAAACACCAGACAACAACCCACGGGGAACAACCCACGGGGGAACAAACAACAGACAACAACCCACGGGGAACAACCCACGGGGAACAAACACCAGACATAAACCCACGGGGAACAACCCACGGGGAACAACCCACGGGGGAACAAACAACAGACAACAACCCACGGGGAACAACCCACAAGGAACAAACACCAGACAACCCAAAGGAACAAACACCAGACAACAACCCACGGGGAACAACCCACAAGGAACAAACACCAGACAACCCAAAGGAACAAACACCAGACAACAACCCACGGGGAACAACCCACAAGGAACAAACACCAGACAACCCAAAGGAACAAACACCAGACAACAACCCACGGGGAACAACCCACAAGGAACAAACACCAGACAACCCAAAGGAACAAACACCAGACAACAACCCACGGGGAACAACCCACAAGGAACAAACACCAGACAACCCAAAGGAACAAACACCAGACAACAACCCACGGGGAACAAACACCAGACAACAACCCACGGGGAACAAACACCAGACAACAACCCACGGGGGAACAAACACCAGACAACAACCCACGGGGAACAAACACCAGACAACAACCCACGGGGAACAAACACCAGACAACAACCCACGGGGAACAAACACCAGACAACAACCCACGGGGAACAAACACCAGACCCACGGGGAACAAACACCAGACAACAACCCACGGGGAACAAACACCAGACCCACGGGGAACAAACACCAGACCCACGGGGAACAAACACCAGACCCACGGGGAACAAACACCAGACAACAACCCACGGGGAACAAACACCAGACAACAACCCACGGGGAACAAACACCAGGCGACAACCCTCGGGCAACAAACCCTCCGCCTCAGACCACGAGGCCACTGATCCCCCCCCCACCTCCCCCCCCCCCCCACCCCGCCTCACGCACTCGTATTGACCGCTGGGTCACGTGACAAGACCAGCCGCGACAAATTGTTCAAAGACGTCCTACGGAATCACGTGATGCCCGCTGGTGACGATTTCACTCGGTTCAGGCATCATCGTTCCAAAACTATGGGATGCTTTGTTGTCTTTCTTCACATAGATCTACAGGATATTCAAACTGTGTATGATTATAATATGTTTTGAGCAACTTTATTTTACAAAACATTTTAATTACTCCGATAAAAATTAAAACTATCAAGGACAAATCTTAATCCATTATATATTGAAGTAAGTATAAAGACAGTGTTGTAATTGGTTTGTGTTGTAACACTGTCTAAAGTTATTTTATCTTCTTCCGAGCTATAAACTAATTATATTGGTGGCTAACGTGTAAGCTTTCGTGAGCGATCAAAGTACTCACTGTTACATCTAAGCATATTGTGTTTTCTTATTTTAATGCGATATAATTATTTTCTATGTTTTATTTTCTAAATTTTATTACTTAAATATTAAAAATGTAAACAAATTAGCATATATTGCGTTACAGTGGCATAGCGAGGTCGGGTGCCACTTAATGGTGTCACCCCCCCCCTCGAAGCCGTAGTGACCCTTCCTGGGGACAAATTTTCGATTTGCACCCCCCCCCCCCCCCTCAGACTTTCGATTAAATCACTATTTAACACTCGAATTAACCACTTAATTAAGTGGAATTATCATTTTTCTCTGTCTATTTTGCTATTTTTTGCGTTTGTGTCACCCCCCTCCCCCTTAAATGGTGTAACCCGGTGCGGTCCGCACCCCCGCCCCCCTCGCTACGCCTCTGACGCGTTATAAAACCAATTAGTGTCTTGCATAATCTTTCCATTTGGAAAGAAAGTCGAATGGTAGAGTATCCAAATGCTAATCCGAAAGTCTTGAGTTTGGTTCCCCGGCTTTAGTCCATTTGACCTCACTGAGTCCACTCAGCTCTGACACCTGACTCACGTTATATACCGTGAAGACGGCTGTGTATAGTGCTGACTACACTACCCTTTCATACACCAAGGTCACAGATACTGATAACTCTGCTTCTTCTGTCTCATGGACCGCTAGGCTATAAAGGGTAACTTTAGTCTACCAAACTGATGAGTCTAAGTCGAGACACAATCCCAGTAAAAACATTTTCTTTCAACACGATCAGCAAAATTGAGATACATTATGTGGATGTTATTCACATATATATGCGACGTAGACGAGTACTATCTGCCCTTATGAGCGTGTACACCTCGGCCATAACATTGTAAACAACACTCGTCAACTCTACATCACCTTGCTGTTCACATGATCGTTACCACATAGTTTCTCATTGTTTTTTATTGTAAAAATCAACATTTAAAGTAGGGTATGAAAATGGTATATCCGGACAATTTGCCATTTAGAGTGGGATAGGAAATGGGATACCCAGACCATTCAGAGTAGGATAGAGAACGAGTCGTTCTAAGATTACGTTTTCATAATAACTTACGTTTTTTACTTTCTCGTATATACGAAGTAGAGCCTAGAGAAAATCCTGTAATCGTGCAAAAAAAATCGAGATTTTTACAAATCTAGACGTTTTACACCTCACTGATACGGAAAAACATAATTTTGCATTCTTGTCCGTATGTCTGTGTGTCTGTCTGTCTGTGTGTGTGTGTGTGTGTGTGTGTGTGTGTGTGTGTGTGTGTGTGTGTGTGTGTCCGTGTGTAAACACGATAACTTGAGTACCGTTACAGCTGGGTTGATGAAATTTCATAGATAAGTATTTTATCAAAATCGTAGATCCGTATCAACTTTTGAGCGATTTCCGATAACCGGAAGTGGTACTTTTCCTACTTTAAATTTTTCAAAAGCCTATAACTTGAGTACTATTTCAGATAGATAAATGAAATTTCACATGTAAGTAAAAGATCTAATTCTCTACTTACTGTTAAATTTTGAGTAATTTCCGTTGACCGGAAGTAGTAATTTACGCTACTTCCGATTTCTCAAAAACTAATGTAAATTTTTACAGTACTAATAATATTGCGCACTATTATGCACTTTTTTATTTGGCGTTCACTTGGTGTGCAATTCTTTTGTCTACGAGATTTTATTCTATTTTTAAAACTTTAAGTATTTAAAATGGATTAAAAATCATGTTTATAGTCCGAGTTCCCATCCCCTGTTATTTTATATAAGAATATTCGAGAAAGTTTAGGGGAGATCACTCCCGGTTTTTTCTACGACGTCCCATCTCCAACATTGAGACACTGGCACGACCAAATCCACCTAAAAGTCTGATTTTTCTGTACCAGTTTTTGTCTATTTTACCACATATTTAGCCTCTTGATATACGTCCCGTCAAAACATAATTTAAAATCCATTACCAACAACGATGAAATGTCATAGTTAAGAGCAACATTTATCCCGATGGCTATATATCTTCGGTTACTGCCAGGATTGGCCAGTCTGCCTATAAATTAAACTTGTCATGTGAGAAATGACATGTATTCAATCCTAGAGATGGAGAGAGAGAGGGAGAGAGAGAGAGGGAGAGAGAGAGAGAAAAGACTGTTTAATATTTATTTGTAAGTATCTCTAACGTAAACCTAATACAATAAATGATTTTAACCTTATTCCTAAACTCGATACTAACAAATATAAAGGCAGAAAAGAACCTTGAAGAGAGAGAGAGAGAGAGAGAGAGAGAGAGAGAGAGAGAGAGAGAGAGAAGACTGTTTAATATTTATGTGTTATCTCTAATGTAACCCTAAAGCAATATGTGACTTTAACCGTATTCATAAACCTGATACTAAGAAATATACAGGCTGAAAAGAACCTTGAAATCGAATTTTATTTTGTTGGCCTGATTCTATGCATGAATCAAAAGAAAGTAACTGCATAATTAATGGATTCCCAATGAAAATAATAGGTTTACGTCAGTTCTTTGTTTATCTGTTATATGTATATCACCATAGCTTGATTTAAAATTTAGTTCTCATGGACCTATGCGAAAGGGAAGCTACTCTTGTGAAAGAGAAGCTGACCTTGTTAAAGGTTAGCTACTGTTGTGAATCATATGAAGGGAAGCTACTCTTGAGAAAGGGAAGCTACTCATCTAAAGTGACGCTACTCTTGTGAAGGGGAAAATCTTTTGACAATGGGAAGCTTCTCTTCTAAAAGGGAAGCTAGTATTGTGAAAGGGAGCTACTCTTATAAAGAGTAAGCTAGAATGTGAGTGAAGCTAGTCTGTGATTAAAGCTAGTCTGTGAGTGAAGCTAGACTGTGAGTGAAGCTAGTCTGTGATTAAAGCTAGTCTGTGAGTGAAGCTAGTCTGTGATTAAAGCTAGTCTGTGAGTGAAGCTAATCTCTGAGTGAAGCTAGTCTCTGAGTGAAGCTATTCTATGAGCGAACCTAGTCTGTGAATGAAGCTATTCTATGAGTGAAGCTATGTGAAGCTAGTCTGTGAAGTGAAGCTAGTCTGTGAGTGAAGCTAGTCTGTGAGTGAAGCTAGTCTGTGAAGTGAAGCTAGTCTGTGAAGTGAAGCTAGTCTATGAGTGAAGCTAGTCTGTTAGTGAAGCTATTCTGTGAGTGAAGCTAGTCTGTGAGTGAAGCTAGTCTGTGAGTGAAGCTATTCTGTGAGTGAAGCTAGTCTGTGAGTGAAGCTAGTCTATGAGTGAAGCTAGTCTGTGAGTGAAGCTAGTCTGTGAGTGAAGCTAGTCTGTGAGTGAAGCTAGTCTGTGAGTAAAGATAGTCTGTGAGTGAAGCTAGTCTATGAATGAAGCAACCTTTGTTTGCCCAAAACTTCACGTCTGACAGAGCCCCCCTCCTAGGGATCAATTTTACCGGAAACTGAACCTAACACAATATCCTCTTATAGGATTACTCTCCCCTTGCTCTTGCTTAATGCCTGCTCTCCCCTGCCGGGTAGAATTCCGTATTTCTCTATCTCTCGGTGGCAGAGCCGCTCTTCTGTCTTCTTTAAAGAAAATATTTTCTTTTTCTTTTCGCCCGTGGCGGGGAGACAGTATGCCAATACGAGTTTGTGAAGGGAAAAAACATAATTAGGCAGGATAGTGAACTCTTACGCAAGAATTTTTAAAAATACATTGCTTTTTTTTTCGAAGAATTATGTTGTCTCTTTTTGACAGATAACTAATTTTTTTTTAAAGGGATTCGTTGTATTGTGAAGTTGATAAGGTATTAATATTAAAGCTGTCTTTGACAAGTAAATTAGAAAATGGAAAATTTAAATAAATGGTCCGGATTGGGGGAGTCATACTAGAATTTGTTAGGGTAGGTGGGTGACAATAGGTTGTTTCATAAGGGGGGAGTCAGTTAAATAGAAAGATGTACTGGCAGATATATTAGCATACACAAAGATAGACATTCAGAAATATAGACATACATAGATAGACATAGCAAGACACATAATAATATAGACAGAATTAAAGACAGACACACCAGCACACGGATAAAATATAAATACAGATAGACATATAGACACTTAGATCGTGACATAATGTAAAATTAAATCAGACTTATTAAGAGACACAAAGATAGACACATATGTAGACAAACACAAGAATATATAAGTGAACGAAATCTTATAGCCGTGGGTGAAGAAGGAGATACATACAGACACATAGTGAAACATACAGACACATATACAAGACACAGCGACAGATATTTCATCACACCAATACCAACGTACATCTAAACATATAACGCCAGCATACACCAACACATAGACATCCACATACCAAAAGACAACAATAGACGCCAACATATGCCAACACTCTAAGTCATTTACATACCAAAACACAACGCCACCATACACAAACACTAGCACACATAGACACCACATACAAAAAGTCAACCATTGACACCGACATACACCAAAACACAAACAACAACAACCACCAACATTTTTATACAACCTTATACCAAATCACGAAAGTAAAATTACTGCCCGTACACACACCAACACACATAAACGCCAACTTACATCAAAACACAAACGCCAACATCTACCAACACCCATATACTCCCACACAGCAAATCACGTCTGTAAAATTACTTCCCGTAAACTTAACATTAAACAAAGAACAGACAACCTCAACCCTTTATCTCACCATAAAATATTAAATTTCAGCGAGATAAAATTCTTGAACTGCCATCAAGACTATAGTCTTTAAAGTTAACAGCCTTTAACAGTGCCATACAACAAAGGATCAATCAGTAAAAATTGTTTTTATGTCAGGTTTTTTTTTCTTGATGTCTCATAGTTAATGGAGAAATTTGAGTGAATAGCGTTAGCAACTTTACTGGAACTGGAAGATATATATATATATATATATATATATATATATATATATATATATATATATATATATATATATATATATAGACAGATAGATAGATAGAGAGAGAGAGAGAGAGAGAGAGAGAGAGAGATACAGAGAGAGAGAAAGGTAGATAGACAACCTACATAGATTAATGTGCGTGTTTATGCACGAATGAGAGTGCGTGCGTGTATGTATTTGTGGTGTTTATGTCTCTGAGTGTTAGTGTGGTTGTGAATTGGTTGTTTGTGTGGGTGTTTCTCTGTTTTTGTGTATATGTGTTTATGTGTATGTGTGTGAGAGAGAGATAGAGATAGATGTAAGACATTTAGCTCCTCTGATCTAGCATATATCAATATTCCATCCCTACACATGAATCCAGGCTTCTCAGAATTACATCTGTAATACCAGGATATTCCTAAAAAAAATCTTGTCCTTCCTTACATTAAAGACTGCTCTCCCCTTACAGAAACTTGATCCTGTAGTAAGCTGATCCTGATTTTTTTTTAATCTTCACTGCTTCGTGTTCATTAACAAGAAAATACGAAACACAGAACTCATTTTGTTTACCGTAATCTTATACCGTCATCAATATTCCCAAATTAATCCGCTACATATGGTAGTGCATTTGCATCAGATCGTTAAATAATGTACTTTTGAGTATATTTTAAAGAAAACCTGCACACGATTTGATATTGCTCTGCTAGTAACGTTACAAAGGATATGATACATTTAAAGTAAACGAAAATACCCGGTACATCTGAGGAATTCAAGTTGATATTCTGGTTTAGTTAACTCATGTGTCAGTACTGCTCTACCTAACGTATATGTTTTAGATATATTTGCTTTATAGGTATAATGGCGTTGGTCATATGTGTTGATGTATAAAGTTAATAAACAAGAATACATGGTAAAATCATTTTAAACAGTACACTTTGGAACTAAGGTTCCATTGGGGAAGGTGAAGTAGAGTTAACCTGTTTCTGTGACCTCGGCATATGAAAGGATAGTGTGGTCAGCACTATGACGCCTTTACTTTCCCTAACGTGAGTCAGAGCTGGGTGGACCAAGGTACGTCATACGGACTCTAGCCCGGGATTTGAAATTGAGTCTTTCTGGTTAGCAGAAGAACGCTCTACCATTCGACAACGCCGTTCCTCATTCAAACATAAGAATTATTAACAATGAAACACATTGTAGATAATGGTAGATAAATAGACAACCTACATAGATTAATGTGTGTGTTTATGCACGAATGAGAGTGCGTGAGTGTATGTATTTGTGGTTGATTGTGCGTGTTTGTATTGGTGTTTATGTCTCTGAGTGTTAGTGTGGATGTGAATTGGTTGTTTGTGTGGGTGTTTCTCTGTTTCTGTGTATGTGTGTTTCTGTGTATGTGTGAGAGAGAGAGATAGAGAGAGATATGTAAGACTTTTATCTTCTCTGATCTAGCATATATCCATATTCCATCCCTACACATGAATCCAGGCTTCTCAGAATTACATCTGTAATATCAGGATATCCCTAAAAAATCTTGTCCTTTCTTACCTTAAAGACTGCTCTCCCCTTACAGAAACCTGATCCTGCAGTAAGCTGATCCTGATTTTTTAAAAATCTTCACTGCTTCGTGTTCATTAACAAGAAAATATGAAACACAGAACTCATTTTGTTTACCGTAATCTTATACCATCATCAATATTCCTAAATTAATCCGCTACATATGGTGGTACGTTTGCATCAGTTCGTTATATAATCTCTATGTACTTTGGAATATATTTTACAGAGAACCTGCATACGATTTGATATTGCTCTGTTAGAAGCGTTACAAATGATATGATACACTTAAAGTTAACGGATATATGATGGATATTCTCGAATAATAAAGTAAATCGAATTTAAATAAAAGCGTGTATAAGAGTGGAGTACTTTAGTTTATTTAATTTTAAGACATTCTATTCAAAGTGATAGAGAAATGTAATTGTAAGTTTTTAAAACATAATTAAAGACAAACTTTGCACGTTACATTCTAAATCTAAACGAAACCAAATGTTTGCCTCTGTATTATGATTCAAATGTCTTCTGGGTCCACCTTCTCGTCAAGGTCAATAAACTTTAAGTAGGGCAGCTCACAAGCATGAGCATCGATTGTTGTGTTTAACAGGTCGAGTATCAAGGCCGTTTTCGCCACGTCATTCTTCACCATGTCAGTCTTCATCTTATTGACATCTGCCATGTCAGTTTTCATCCTATTGACATCTGCCATGTCAGTTTTCATCTTATTGACATCTGCCATGTCAGTTTTCATCTTATTGACATCTGCCATGTCAGTTTTCATCCTATTGACATCTGCCATGTCAGTTTTCATCTTATTGACATCTGCCATGTCAGTTTTCATCTTATTGACATCTGCCATGTCAGTTTTCATCTTATTGACATCTGCCATGTCAGTTTTCATCTTATTGACATCTGCCATGTCAGTTTTCATCTTATTGACATCTGCCATGTCAGTTTTCATCTTATTGACATCTGCCATGTCCGTTTTCATCTTATTGACATCTGATATGTCAGTCTTCACAATAATATCTGCATTGTCAGACTTCACATTATTGATGCCTGCCATGTCAGTCTTTACCTTATTGATATCTGACATTTCAGTCTCCGCCTTGATTTCCGGTCTGTTCACAAATCTTCGTTTTCGCGAAATTTGTTTCGGTGTGGAAACTTCATTCTCGACCTTAATGCCGTAAAGCGTAAACCATCCGGTTACATTAAATTCGTAATTCTTTTCGTCTGTGAGTTGATTTATCATAGATTGAGAGCTGGTATAAGCATGTTTTAAGTCGACCCAAAGCCAGGGTTCAGCGTTACGATCAGATTGCTGTTTAAGTGCGTGATAAAATGGAATATGTTTATCTCCGAATGTGTAATTAAAAGTTGGTCTGTCTCCAATACCACGATGTACATGGTGGTAATTTGTTGTTTTGCTATTTTTGCCTTGGCCCCATCTTAGAAATCCTCGAAACTGCGTTGAAAATTTGGCCCGCACAGTAACAGTATAGGGTATAGAGACGCGTATTTTATAATGCTGTAATTTCCATTCGACTTCGCTTTTAGCAGGTACTGTCACTGTGTCAGCCGTTGTAGAAGTAGATGACGAACTATTGTTTGTACCGTCAACTACTGTCTGAGCATTTTCATAAGTGAATTTGTAGTTAACCTTAGGAGCAATATGTTTAAATGGAAATGAAATCTCTATACCCAACTCATGAGCATTTCTCCATGAATTAGTAGTCGTGTGAGTCACGCTTTGAAATTCAGTGCGAGTTCTCTGTAGAAAAGATGTATGGGGATTAGTGTTATAGTTTCTAATTGTTTTTTCTTCAACAGTTACAACGTCCATAATTTCTCTTTTCATTTCACCAAACTTCTCGTTCGTTTTTTCATAGGTCCAGTTAAGGTAGTCGATTTTAAGTCTCTCTTCATGTTTATAACCTTCACAGAATTCACTAAGCACTGCTTCCCACGTGTGACCATTTCTTTTGAAATCATCGCCCACATACTTGCCTCGACAACCAGCGCACCACCCATAACCAAGGTAGAAAGCTAGGTAAGACAATGGATAAAGAGTTCTGTCCATGATTAATGTCTGTACACTGTCTATCCCATCCAGTTTATCCATCTCATCCATCATGGCGCAACATCTAAACTCAGTCAGACATTCCGATTCATTGCACGCCTCCCTGTACACACCAGCAAGATGATAGCCTTGTTTACATTCGCAAGGTCCTTTCTTCTGATAACAGTGAGTGATATCAAGATGCTCGCAATTTCTGTAGTGGTGTGGGTGATCAGCGGGCTTAGCGCAGACTCCTTCTTCAATGTGGAACAGTGGTTGATCTTCTTTTTTAAAGAACACTTTATATTCGACTGTTTTCATATAGGCTGCTAAATACATTCCACCGTATTCAGTTGTTTCAAAAGTTCTCTCTGTCACTCTACGAATGCCAATTAGAAAATGACCTTCTGGACATAGCGCCCAACCCATGGTGTCGAAACTTACCCACCAGTTTGCAACAACTACTTGTTGATTAGAATTTCTCCACCTGCGTAAACCATTTTGACAAACAGCGCCTTTGAAACGATTCAAATTTGTTTGGTACACTTCACCCATCTCTATACCAGACAAGTACACATTTTTTCTTCTCCCACATCCAACTAACATCTCCAATTTTGCACTTGATTCTACCACCATAAGCATTGTGGAAACAACTGCAGCTATCTGCAGCAACATCTTGTAATCTATGGATACATAGAAAGAAAAAGATACAATAATCAAACAAAAAAGCTAAAACACTTAGTATATAACCCCACCCCTGCTTTTCAGTACACAATGACATTCACTATAAAGTCTTCTTCTTCTTCTTCGTTCTTAATTTTTAGTGTTGGGAGGGATCGAGCCTTATCTGCCAGAGGGTTTGAACTCGAGACTTTTTTCGAATTTATCAACCATGAGCTTTGCCGACTCGACCATGCTTCCATCACAATTAAGGATAACGTGTCAACTGGTTATGCGCCATTGAGGCCATTGACTCCGATTTCAGCCTGCTTTTCTTTTTGGATTTGCTTCCATAGCCTTTGTCCAACCAAGAACAAACTACAAGGCAGCAGTTGTTTGATTTTGGAGTTGTCTCTCCTAGAAGAGTGGCTGTCCCCAGCTAACGAGCCTCATCTGCCCGAGGGTTCGAACTCGAGACTTTTCGGTTTAGCAACCATGAGCTTTACCGACTCGACCACGCCGACCTATAAAGTCAATTAACCCGGTCACTAAACGGAACCATTACCCCTGTCAACAACTTAGTCCTATATATATATATATATATATATATATATATATATATATATATATATATATATATGTATGTATATATATATAAATATATATATATATATATAATATATAATATATAATATATATATATATATATATGTATATATATATATATATATATATATATATATATATATATATATATATATATATATATATATATATATATATATATATATATATATACTAGTCATACTGCCTAGCTTCGCTTAGGTTTTTAGAAAACATTTGAGAATTTGAATACTTAATTATTTAGCGATGGATTGGGTGTGGAGTGCTTTAATTTAAACAGTAATGCTAACTTTAGAAAAAAATTATGTTTGTTGTTTAAATTCCGCTCTCAGAGAAATATAGGAAAGTACGCAATGTATAAATAAAATGGAATTAGAACTACACAGGTTCCATGAACAGTATATCTAATAGTTTATATTACATTGCCTTTTGAAATTTATTTGATTATTTAATTTGGATACGCAACTAAATTAACAACTTAATTTTGTACTTAAACAAATGCTATACTTCGTCATTTTCTGTTTCTGTTTAAAATAGTATACAGTTATTTTAAAAATAATAATTTTAAAAACGTTACCTCCCTTGAAAACTGAACGTATGACGTAGGCTTTTTTTACTTTTTTTTACAAACAGTTGCTATGCTTATATAAGAAATTACGGTATATGAACATATTTAACGACTATAATGGCTGTTTCCGACGGGAATACATTTTTTTTTGTTACCCTCCAGGGTTGGTCTACGACGTCATATAATATTAAGGGGATCGTTCGCCAATTTATTTATATATATATATATCTCATATAAGGAGAACTTCACTAGCGATCATCTTTTAGCCCTCGTCGAGGGCTTTGAGTCTGACCAACAGTTTTTCCATACGGCCTAGTCATCTATAGTAGTGTATGCAAAAACTTAGCATGATGTACAGACGTTAAGTAACCTAAAAATTGTGTTAAAATTTCCCTGTTTTTGCCATCAAATACAAAGATTATATAGGGAAATACGACTGGTCAGTTTTGACCCATTTCCCGATTTTTCTAGGAAATGGCGAGTTTTTTGTGACACCCCAAGGCCTTCTTCTACCACCTCACAAAATATCAAGGGGGTCGTCGGAGGAAAAATATTTTCGTAATAGAGCTCATATAACGAGAATTTCTCTCGCGGTCACTTTTTAGCCCTCGTCGAGGGCTTTGAGTAAAACCGACAGTTTTCCCTAAAGGTCAAGCCAATCTCCTAAGAGTATCCAAAAAATTAGCCAGATATACTGAGTTTAAGTACCCTAAAATCCGCGTTGAAATGATCCTCTGTTTTTCCCATAAAATACAAAGATTATATAGGGAAATACAACTGGTCAGTTTTGACCACTTTACAAAGTTTTCCCAGATATGCCGAGTTTTTTGTGACACCCCAAGGCGTTCTCCTACCACCTCACAAAATATCATGGGGGGTCGTCGGAGGAAATTTTGTTTCGTAATAGAGCTCATATAAAGAGAATTTCATTCGCGGTCACTTTTTAGCCCTCGTCGAGGGCTTTGAGTAAAATCGACAGTTTTCCCTAAAGGTCAAGCCATTCACCTAAGAGTATGCAAAAAATTAGCCAGATATACTGAGTTTAAGTACCCTAAAATCCGCGTTGAAATGATCCTCTGTTTTTCCCATAAAATACAAAGATTATATAGGGAAATACAACTGGTCAGTTTTGACCACTTTACAAAGTTTTCCCAGATATGCCGAGTTTTTTGTGACACCTCAAGGCGTTCTCCTACCACTTCACAAAATATCAAGGGGGGGGGGGTCGTCGGAGGAAAATTTTTTTCGTAATAGAGCTCATATGAAGAGAATTTCACTCGCGGTCACTTTTTAGCCCTCGTCGAGGGCTTTGAGTAAAATCGACAGTTTTCCCTAAAGGTCAAGCCATTCACCTAAGAGTATGCAAAAAATTAGCCAGATATACTGAGTTTAAGTACCCTAAAATCCGCGTTGAAATGATCCTCTGTTTTTCCCATAAAATACAAAGATTATTTAGTGAAATACAACTGGTCAGTTTTGACCACTTTACAAAGTTTTCCCAGATATGCCGAGTTTTTTGTGACACCCCAAGGCGTTCTCCTACCACCTCACAAAATATCATGGGGGGTCGTCGGAGGAAATTTTGTTTCGTAATAGAGCTCATATAAAGAGAATTTCACTCACGGTCACTTTTTAGCCCTCGTCGAGGGCTTTGAGTCAAACCGACAGTTTTCCCTAAAGGTCAAGCCATTCACCTAAGAGTATGCAAAAAATTAGCCAGATATACTGAGTTTAAGTACCCTAAAATCCGCGTTGAAATGATCCTCTGTTTTTCCCATAAAATACAAAGATTATATTGGGAAATACAACTGGTCAGTTTTGACTTCTTTACGAAGTTTTCACAGATATGCAGAGTTTTTTGTGACACCGCAAGGCGTTCTCCTACCACCTCACAAAATATCAAGGGGGGGGGTCGTCGGAGGAAATTATTTTTCGTAATAGAGCTCATATAAAGAGAATTTCACTCGCGGTCACTTTTTAGCCCTCGTCGAGGGCTTTGAGTCAAACCGACAGTTTTCCTTAAAGGTCAAGCCATTTACCTATAAGCATGCCAAAAATTAGAAAGATGTAAAGAGGGTTAGTGCCCTAAAGTCGGCGTTGAAATGACCCTCTGTTTTACCCATAAAATACAAAGATTATATAGGGAAATACAACTGGTCAGTTTTGACCCCTTTACGAAGTTTTCCCAGATATGCCGAGTTTTTTGTGATACCCCAAGGCGTTCTCCTACCACCTCACAAAATTTCAAGGGGGGTCGTCGGAGGAAATTTTGTTTCGTAATAGAGCTCATATAACGAGAATTTCACTCGCGGTCACTTGTTAGCCCTCGTCGAGGGCTTTGAGTCAAACCGACAGTTTTCTCTAAAGGTCAAGCCATTTACCTATAAGCATGCAAAAAATTAGCCAGATGTAAAGAGGGTTAGTGCCCTAAAGTCTGCGTTGAAACGACCCTCTGTTTTTCCCATAAAATACAAAGATTATTTAGTGAAATACAACTGGTCAGTTTTGAACCCTTTACGAAGTTTTCCCAGATATGCCGAGTTTTTTATGACACCCCAAGGCGTTCTCCTACCATCTCACAAAATTTCAAGGGGGGTCGTCGGAGGAAATTTTTTTTCGTAATAGAGCTCATATAACGAGAATTTCACTCGCGGTCACTTTTTAGCCCTCGTCGAGGGCTTTGAGTCAAACCGACAGTTTTCTCTAAATGTCAAGCCATTTACCTACAAGCATGTCAAAAATTAGCCAGATGTAAAGAGGGTTAGTGCCCTAAAGTCTGCGTTGAAATGACCCTCTGTTTTTCCCATAAAATACAAAGATTATATAGGGAAATACAGCTGGTCAGTTTTGACCCCTTTACGAAGTTTTCCCAGATATGCCGATTTTTTTGTGACACCCCAAGGCGTTCTCCTACCATCTCACAAAATTTCAAGGGGGGTCGTCGGAGGAAATTTTCTTTCGTAATAGAGCTCATATAAGGCGCCGGTCAGTCGAGGTCAGTTTTGACCCCCTGTCCGTAGACTTTTCGGCTAACCGTCATCGGCCGTCGTGTTCTATCGCCCGAAGGCACCATCGTGCCAAATTTGACGCGCCTACGGCGTCGGGAAGTGCCCTATCGGGCACCCGACCACCCGGTGCCATATAACTTGAGGGAGTTGATGAATACTCCAGAGAAGATTTCTGGGGTGGGAGGGGGTAATAGGGTTGTGTGGGTGGTGGAGAAAGGGGGATTTAATTTTGCAAGGGCGCCCCCCCCCCCCCCCCCGGCAGGATTCGATTTTGCGTCCTGGACTTTCCCGTGAGCGCTATGGTGAATACGTTCGGTCTAAACAGTGTGATAGACAATGGATAGGATGGGGCATTACAAACGCTTACTAAATTGAATCAGGCATGTCTTCTATCGCCCTGGTAGGGTGCGATTAGGCTGCAAATAAAAATGTCTGTTTCGGCCCCCAAAGGCTCACATGGGCCGCTGAAGGCCATGTAATACATTTTATTTTAATAATCAGAAAAATTAACCAAGGTTAGATTATTAACTGGGATGTTTCTTTTTGTCCCTAAAAAATCCAAACAGTTTCGTCAATTTGCGAATGATGCAATTAGCATCTATTTTTTTATAATCCAATCAGAAATTGAGATAGAGCATCTAAGAATAGTAACGCTAACATATTGCATCAGTCACACTGATGTTTAAAACACGTCAAATAATTTTTTACGTGTTAAATAACAAATCCTGTTCATTTGTGTCACTTTAGCGAATGAAAAAATCTGCATCATTATTAACAGGATGCTATTTGGCTCGATGGCGCCTGTTAGTTTTACGGAGCCAGGGGTGGTAAGCCGCGCCTATGCGCCTAGAGCGCCTCTCTACGTCTCTGACACATGGGCAGTCACCGAAGTGTGTTCTACCATATTATTTAGGTGAGTGATTAATGTACACTCAAGGTTTTCATGCGGTAGTGTAGGTAAACCCGTGTCCCGATATTTATGATCCAAGCGCAGGTATTGTTTACATTTAAATAACTCACTTTTAGAAAACAAGGTCACGAGTCTAAGAATATAGGATCGGTAACGCATGGATGAAACACTTCTTATATATTTCGTCTGACTTTCTTCTATTCCCGCGACAACGCGCGGGAAGGGGTACGCTAGTAAGTAAATACAAAAGTCAATAAATTTATTAATATCTATCTCTCTACTATCTATATATTGGGTTTGTGTTGCGAGTTATATATAAAATCTAGTTACTCTAAACATTATTTAAAACTAAAATTATTTTAGATTTAATAAAATTAAATAATATATTTGCACGCGAAATGAACCCTAACCCTAACCCTAACCCTAACCCTAACCCTAACCCTAACCCTAACCCTAACCCTAACCCTAACCCTAACCCTAACCCTAACCCTAACCCTAACCCTAACCCTAACCCTAACCCTAACCCTAACCCTAACCCTAACCCTAACCCTAACCCTAACCCTAACCCTAACCCTAACCCTAACCCTAACCCTAACCCTAACCCTAACCCTAACCCTAACCCTAACCCTAACCCTAACCCTAACCCTAACCCTAACCCTAGCCCTAGCCCTAGCCCTAGCCCTAGCCCTAGCCCTAGCCCTAGCCCTAGCCCTAGCCCTAGCCCTAGCCCTAGCCCTAGCCCTAGCCCTAGCCCTAGCCCTAGCCCTAGCCCTAGCCCTAGCCCTAGCCCTAGCCCTAGCCCTAGCCCTAGCCCTAGCCCTAGCCCTAGCCCTAGCCCTAGCCCTAGCCCTAGCCCTAGCCCTAGCCCTAGCCCTAGCCCTAGCCCTAGCCCTAGCCCTAGCCCTAGCCCTAGCCCAGCTTGTGTTTCCAGACGACACCCAGACCAGCAGAAGTGTAAATTCCTGGCAGGTTAAACCACGCTGGGGAGACATGCGCGGGTAGGGTCAGATGAAAGCTAACATGCTGGTACCCCAGTTTGGGGAGAAAATTTATTTCGTACAAACAGAACCCGCTACAGAAACCAAAAACAGGAAGCTATCTCCACAAAACTTTCTCAAATATTCTTTTATAACACTACGGGGGATGGCAACTCGGGATATAGACAATATTTTAATCCATTTGCAATTACTTAAACTTTTTAAAATAGAATAGAATCTCGTAGAAAAAAGAATTGCACACCAAATGAACGCTAAACAAAATGTGCATAATAGTGCGGAATATTATTAGTACTTTATAAATTTACATGTGTTTTTTGAAAAATTGGAAATAGCCTCAATTACTACTGCCAGTTAACGGAAGTTACTCAAAATTTGAAAGAAGGCAGAGAATTAGATCTTTTACGTATATGTTAAATTTGATTTATCTATCTGAAATAGTACTCAAGTTATAGGCTTTTGAAAAATTGAAAGTAGAAAAAGTTCCTTTTTCTGTAATCGGAAATCGCTTAAAAGTTGACACTGATCTACAAATTTGATAAAATACTTATATATGAAATTTCATCAACCTAGCTGTAACGGTACTCAAGTTATCGTGTTTACAGACACACACACAGACAGACACACACACACACATACACACACACACAGACATACGGACAAGATTGCAAAACTCAGGGGAGGTGTAAAACGTCGAGATTTCCAAAAATCTCGATTATTTTTTTTGCACGATTACAAAACTTTCTCTATACTCTGTATATCCGAGAAAGTAAAAACTAAAACTGGTGAAACGGGAAAAGTTCTCCAAAATATGACGGATGCCAATGAAAGCTTTGATACATAAGTTACCACCCCGACAACCAATCCCTAAACCGAGAGTTTTACAACCTTTAAAAAACCTTGAAAATAAATAAATAATAAATTGGAACGTTAGAACACGTTAGAAGCAGCTACAAAAATGAAAAGATACAATATGGTTATACTAGCACTGGAAGAAACACGGCTGACAGGACACACAAAAAAAGTCAAGCGAGTTAGACGAATAGAGAGGGGAAATTAATTTGTCAGTAGAAGAAAAATATCTCCAAGCAGGGGTAGCAAACTTTCGATTTGCACCCCCCCCTTAAACTATTTATAATGTATTTTTCCAACCCATTTTTTGGCGCCCCCTAAGGTTGGCGCCCGGGGACATATGTACCCCTGCCCCCCCCCCCCCCCCTTCGCTACGCCTTTGAGGGGTAGCTGATATGCTGAACAAACAAGCCTCTGTAGCTCTGATGGTTTGGAAACCAATAAGTGAAAGAATATAGTATGTTAGGCTGGCATCAAAATACTCAAAACTATCAGTACTAATATAATAAGCCTTGACGTGAAATCCTGAATAAAACTATACGTTTTTAATATCAAACTTGAACTTTCAAATTAATTTGATTTTTTATTAGGTCGATATTTGTGTCGCGCGGTATCGTCGTGAGAATTCGATCCACCCACAACAAAACTCAACATGAATTAGGTAAAAACGGTTTTGTACTTGCAATACGTGTGTTTTCTAAATGACAAAAAAGACTAATAATAAAACAATGTTTTAAATTATTGTAAATATATATATTCTATTTCGCGGGTATATAGTAAATATGTGTATGTATACACAAGCAGAATATTAATAAACAAGCACTTCAAATGATTGAAAGTACTTATATTCGCCAATAACCGAGAAAATTAAAGTAAAAAATCACACAATGTTAAATTTCAGACATTGCCGGTAACGTTTACTTCATATCATAGTAACTCTCCAAAAATATTTTATGTTATAGACGTAGTGGGCCTACCTGTAATTTCTGAAGCCGTAAGACGATTCTGTCAGAAAACAAATCTAACGAATCTGTGGTAAAACGTACAGTTATATAAGCTGAACACATCCGGTTTTGAGGCAATTCTAGGAAATGTAACTCGTTTTTTTTAATCTTGTGTTCCTGTTTCACATTCGTTTTGGCTTTTCAGTGTATACTGTATCCCTGTTCAAAAGTGCAATATATTATACCTTACGAAAACAAAAGACAAGAAGCGCTTTTTAGACAGTTCCGTACACGTACACGTACACGTACACGTACACGTACACGTACACGTACACGTGCACGTACACGTGCACGTACACGTACACGTGCACGTACACGTACACGTACACGTACACGTACACGTACACGTACACGTACACGTACACGTACACGTACACGTACACGTACAAACGTTTATATATATATATATATATATATATATATATATATATATATATATATATATATATATATATATATACATATACATATACATATATCTGTATGTGTGTTTGTGTGTGTGTGTGTGTGTGTGTGCGTGCGTGTGTGGGGGGAGGGGGAGGGAGGAATGTTCTCTTCCTTACTGATCTATCTAGGCTGCATCCGTATCTTAACTGTTTCAAGGAACAGGACTAAATGAGGAGTCTGGAGCTTCGTAGAACAGCTGAATCCGTCTCGACATCCCTGGCGTTGCCATTGGTTGGTTGGCTGTATGGCATTGTGTGAGCGCTGACCTAAACTTATCTTAGCTTGTAGGGTGCACTGAAAGTGGGTTAAGTTTGTCTTGTTATTATGCAACGCATTTTTTTTCTTTGAGCATGCGATTTACAGCACGATTTAAAGTATAATTTACAGGAATGACAGTTGGTATGGTAACAGTTTTAAATAGACGTATATATATATATATATATATATATATATATATATATATATATATATAAGGAGGGGCCAAATTATGTTATTTCTGTAACAAGGACATTGTAAAAGTAATCGCAATTTTCATAATATAATGTTTCCCTTTTTATGGGGCAAGTGAAGTGGAGTTCATTTGTTTCTGAGACCTCGACATATGAAGAGATAGTGTGGTCAGCACTATGCCCAGCCCCCTTTACTCTCCCTAACGTGAGTTAGGTACACATCAGAGTTGGGTGGACTCAAGCACGGTCTACTGACTTGAACCCGGATTCGAACTCGTGACTTACGGGTTAGCAGTCCAGCTCTCTACCGCTAGACCACTCCGTCCCACATTTATAATTAATTTAACTCTCAACAGAAAGTTATATATTTTAAAACTGTGTGCAACGTTATTAGAACATACGTGATTATTAAAATATGATTGTATTTGTGTTGGTTTTTTACTTTCTCGTATACGATGTATAGTGGAAGTATTTTAATCGTGGGAAAAATCGAAATCGAGATTTTCACAAGTCTCGATGTTTTACACCTCACTGAGTCGGAAAAAACATAACAAAACTTTGCAAAAAACTTTTATTATTCCGCACATATTGTTTGCCGTTCATTTGGTGCGCATTTCTTTTTTTCTACTAGATTTTATTCTGTTTTAAAAAGCTTACGTAATTTAAAATTGATTAAAAATCATGTGTTTATCCCGAGCTGCCATCCCACGTAGTGTTATATAAGAATATCCGACAAAGTTTAGGGGAGATCACTCCCGGTTTATATTGTTATTATCTAAACTAGCAAAAACATTTCATTTAGTATCAATATAAACGTTTATGGTTGCATTTGGAGTGGTCTATCTTTTGTTAAAAAGTTATGGTTATTTAGTTAACCTTAAACGTATTACTTCTTTGACTAGTATGTAGGCGTGCTTTTTATCCATTTTACTTCCTTGTATACAGAGTATAGAAGTATTGTAATAGTGCACAAAAATCACATGACCAGCCATGCAGATCAAAGGAATTTCTCTGAAAAATAAAGTAAAAATAAGATAAATATTTGTATTAAATCGAGAATTTTAATGTGATTTTAGCATAAAATAATACTTTAAAATTGTTATCTATGTGCTGTTGCATTTTATTTTTAAATATCGAGATGCGTGCATATTTTAGTTTAGTGAAATAATGTGTCGGTACTGCTCTACCTAACGTATAGCATTTAAATGTATTTGTTGTATACACAGCTTGTTGGTAAGCTGTGTTGATGTATAAAGAGAGCACGGTAAAATAAATTTAAAAAGTACCCTTCGGAACTAACGTTCCATTGGGTAGGTGAAGTAGAGTTAACCTGTTTATGTGACCTCGGCACCTTTGCTTTTTCCTAACGTGATTCAGACACCCATCAGAGCTGGGTGGACCAAGGTACGTCGTACGGACTCTAGCCCGAGATTTGAATTTGAGACTTTCGGGTTAGCAGTTGAACGCTCTACCATTTGGCCACGCCGTTCCTCATTCAAACACAAGAATTATTAACATTGAAACATATCAGGTATATTAGAAATAATTTCCTTAATCAGAGCAACACTTTTATTGGGATTTCCGTTTTTAACCTTTTTTTTACATTATAACAGTCAATGCGGTGTTAATTAATGTAATTTAATATTTTAGACACGACACTACAAAATTAGATTGTATTTCAACGTCAAGTCAAATTTAATTAACACAAATAACAAAAGCTTGGAATTTAATTTTAAAAAAAAACATCTTTCTATTAAAAAATTAAATTAGGTCTGAGATTTAAAAAAAATAATTATTATTAAATCTTGGATAATAAAATGAGGCTTCTACCCCGAGGCTACTACAGAAATAACGATAAAACAAAATAAACCGGGAGTGATCTCCCCTAAACTTTCTCGAATATTTTTATATAAAATAACAGGGGATGGGAACTCGGGCTATAGACTTGATTTTTAATCCATTTTAAATACTTAAAGTTTTAAAAATAGAATAAAATCTCGTAGACAAATTAATTGCACACCAAGTGAACGCGAAATAAAAAAGCGCATAATAGTGCGCAATATTATTAGTACTTTTAAAATTTACATTAGTTTTTTGAGAAATCGGAAGTAGCGTAAATTACTACTTTCTGTCAACGGAAATTACTCAAAATTTAACAGAAGGTAGAGAATTAGATCTTTTACTTACATGTGAAATTTCATTTATCTATCTGAAATAGTACTCAAGTTATAGGCTTTTAAAAAATTCAAAGTAGGAAAAGTACCACTTCCGGTTATCGGAAATCGCTCAAAAGTTGATACGGATCTACGATTTTGATAAAATACTTATATATGAAATTTCATCAACCTAGCTGTAACGGTACTCAAGTTATCGTGTTTACACACGGACAGACACACACACAGACACACACACACACAGACATACGGACAAGATTGCAAAATTATGTTTTTCCGTATCAGTGAGGTGTAAAACGTCGAGATTTGTAAAAATCTCGATTTTTTTTTTTGCACGAGTACAATACTTTCTCTATACTACGTATATACGAGAAAGTAAAAACGAAACATTTGAATTTCACAATGACAAAAAATAGTATTTGAATTAGTCTGTAAAAAATAACCCGGTAGTGATCTCCCCTAAACTTTCTCGAATATTCTTATATAAAACAACAGGGGATGGTAACTGGGGATATAGTTATGATTTTTAATCCATTGTAAATACTTAAACTTTTAAAAATAGAATAGAATCTCATAAAAAAAACATTGCGCACCAAGCAAACGCCGAATAAAAACGCGTATAATAGTGCGCAATATTATTAGTACTTTAAAAATTTACATTAGTTTTTTGAGAAATCGGAAGTAGCGTAAATTACTACTTCCAGTCAACGGAAATTACTCAAAATTTAACAGAAGGTAGAGAATTAGATCTTTTACTTACATGTGAAATTTCATTTATCTATCTGAAATAGTACTCAAGTTATAGGCTTTTGAAAAATTCAAAGTAGGAAAAGTACCACTTCCGGTTATCGGAAATCGCTCAAAAGTTGATACGGATCTACGATTTTGATAAAATACTTATATATGAAATTTCATCAACCTAGCTGTAACGGTACTCAAGTTATCGTGTTTACACACAGACACACACACGGACAGACACACACACACACAGACATACGGACAAGATTGCAAAATTATGTTTTTCCGTATCAGTGAGGTGTAAAACGTCGAGATTTGTAAAAATCTCGATTTTTTTTTTTGCACGATTACAATACTTTCTCTATACTACGTATATACGAGAAAGTAAAAACATTTACACGCAAAAACATTGAAACAGTGGCGTAGCTAGGGGAGGACGGGCGGTGCAGTAGCCCGGGCGCCGATCCTAAGGGGCGCCAAAAGGGGTAGAAACAAATTTAAAAGCTCGTTTTAAGCTATAGTATTGAATTAAGCAGTCAAAGTTAAGAAAATAACTAATAAACTTCTACAAGACTTAACACACTGATTTAACTGTTTTCTACACCCAAAATAAAAACTTTTTTGGGATAGTGACTGGCAAAAATCGTAACCAATATTTTCATCCCGGGTTAGGGGCGCTTTTACACCAACATGAATAACTATAAATGGAGGGGTGGGGAGGGGGGGGGGGAAAGGTGGCAGGAAATAGCCACTTTGCTACGGAATGGGTCGCTGCGCCTCTGCATTGAAAATGTAATTTATTTCTCATTTAATCGTTGTATCAGGCTCATTCTAAAATTTGAAACAAATCCATGATTCTGATGTTCTTTTCCTCTCATTCCCAGGTCTAGAGTGAAGACACGAACCATGGCCAACACCACAAACTTCAGAAAAGCTGGTCTCGCCACGTTTGTCCTAACCACGCTCGCCGTCTCCATATTTCTTCTCGTCATCTCGTTTCACTGCATACCGTTCTTGGCGTCCCCCAACGGGACCCCCTCCCACGCCAGACTCCCCCGCGTTGTGAAAAGAAGCGCCCCAGCATTACACCCTTTCATGTTCCTCCGGCAATGCATCCCACCCAACCCTTCAAAAACGGATATATCGCGGCTCTGCCGGCTTAATAACTGTACGGTTATTCAGTGTCTTCGATCACGTGACTGTAGTGAGCATAA